GCACCATTCTGCTTATAGAGTTGATCTGACCATTCAGGCCTGCTACAGTGCAGTTTAAGCTCACCTGTATCTAGAGCAAAGGGCCTTCCCCAAATTGGTGACCAGTGCTGACCAAATCCTCAGGGTGCAGCGTTTTCCCAGTTCTGTTCTAGCTGTGGAGAACTCTGGAGTTCTCTTGTCTACGTGTGTATCTACAAAGATATACTAAGTTAGTTGCACTGGTACAACTCTTGTACTGACCTCCTGCCTTGTTGTTAGTGTTCCAGCCTAGTATTCCAAATAACTTCCCTTTGGGCTCTCTCTTTCCTTTTACAGATAATTTAAAAATCAGTAGTTTTTAAACTTACAAAATACCCATTGATCATTAAAGTTAAAAATCAGAGGGTACAGTTGTTTTATGGGAATGCTCTTGTTTGAAATTATATTTTGGTATATTTTGGAAAATAAACTTTTTTAAGCCAACCTTTTTACTTGTTCTATCAGGATGCATGAAGAATGCAATGATGCATTAGAGCTTTCTACATTCTCAACTTGCCTGTGGTTAAGTAATGAAGATAAATTGTGAATACCAGTTAATTCTCATCTAGAGTACATGTAGTGGTACTTAGGGTGGTTACTGTCAAATGTAGTGGGAGGAGAGTTGTCTGCCACCTGGGGCAATCCGTGAGGGTTTTGTGGACAGGTGACTTTTAAAGCAGACTTGGATTGATGGACAGGATGTAAATACATAGTGATAAGATGTAGGATAGGAGAGGCCAAAAGTACCCATGAGGAGCAAGGAGAATATGAACGTGGCTGCTGGCATCAGCTTTCAAGACTTCCTCTTTCCCCTCTCCTTCCCCTTCCTCCTCCTCCTCCCTCCTTTCTCTTTCTCCCTTGTGCCCTGTCCCTCTCCTGTTCCTCCTTCCTTCCTTCCCTTCCTTCTCCTTCCTCCACCTTGTCCTCCTCTTCTTCCTCTTCCTCCTCCTTTCTCTTTCTCCTCCCCACCTCTCATCTTTCTTCTCCTCCTTCTTCCTCTTCCTCTTCCCTTTACTGTTCCTCCTCTTCCTCTCCTCTTTCTCCTTCCCCTTCCCATCCTCCTCTTTCTGATGATACTAGGGATTGAAACCAGAGCTACATCCTCACCCCTTTTTGTTCTTATTTTTTGTTTTGAGCTCTTCTACACTCTTCGATGACTGTATGTACACAACAGACCTGGTACAAATGGAGCTTTAAAGTAATGAGATATTGAGATCAATGAGGCAGTATAAATCAGACTCTGTGAAAAACACATCCTTATTTATAGCGTTTGAACATTGGCTCTTCTAGACCAAATGCAGATTAAGCTCCTGGGCAGAGTCTTTACTTCCTCCATCTAATTTTTACTTGTTGCTGTGACAGAGGGATCAGTGAGTCAACTTATACAGAGTGAGGTTCTCTGTTTCCCTAGTCATTTACTTGCTATTTGGGCACTTCATCAACTTTTCTCTTATATAGAGGACAGGATTGAAAATTTTACTTGAACTCAGTGTACTTTGATAGTTACCAAAAATAAGCATCTGTTATATGTCTGACATAGTTCCATATGCTTTGAAGGATATAAAAATAGAGAAGACATAGCAGTGCCTTCAAGGAGTGGACATTTAGTAAATGGATAAATAAAGTGTTCTGTTTGCATAGTAGTCCTCTGCCATGTGAATGTTAGGAAATGCTAAAGGAAATTCTCTATTCTTCTCTTTCTCCCTCCTATCTTCCTTTTCATTCTTATTTGTGGAAAGTATCAGAATTCAGGAATCACATCCAATTATTGAGGGGAGGGTGGCCATATTTATTCAGAATGGCTTCTGGGGTCCAGACCCACATAAAAGGGGGAAAAGAGTACTGTAGATCAAAATCACAAAAGTGGATCTATTCTGAGACCCACAAGTACCCGGCTTATAGGAATGAGAGCGTTGTGGGTGGAGTGACAGCAGACAAGTCTGGAAAAGCAGATCCTGATCATGCCTGCTTTCATATAACATTGACTCCTACTTTTGGAGTTTCAACCAGTTATTCAACTCTGAGGGGAAGTTGCAGTGGATACAGTCCACACTGAAGGTATGGTAGGGTTAGCACTGCCTCTGTGATTGTAAGGATGCCTTTATTTTTCTTATAGAAATCACAAAATCAAGCCTCTGAATACATTAAATTGCTATAGTTAAGATAGATAAAGGAACTGCATAGATTAGAATTAAAAACTATTAAAATTTTAAATTGTCATATCTTAGAGGAAATAATGTAGGTTTTTAGATTTAAAATGGAAATCCATTGTCTTTATCAATACACACCCCAACTTGTCTGCAGCTCATTTCTCTCAGAGAACTCGTTAAGGTGACTCTTTTGTGTGAAGAGTACCAGTCATAAGCCTACTCTATTTTAAAGACAGATGGTAAACTGCAGACTCGCAGTACCCATAATGGGAGGAGTAAACTCTTTTTTTGGAATTAAAATTTTTTTGAAAATTTATGTTTCATTAGTTTATTCTTTTTTCAGTTCGTTTAATGGTTTGTTAAAGATCAGTCATTACTAACAAGTAGAAGCAGCAGAGGTCAAACAGAAAGACTGAAAATTAACAAAGATGAATCCCAAAGATGAAGTGAGATCAGGGCATATATGAAATGCCAATCATTAGGAAAACACGATTTTCTGGGAAAACGTAAGGCTTCACACACTTTTGGAAAAAATGTCCATTTGTAATGGGAATGAGTTTTTGCAGTTTAAAGTGGAGTCTGACAGCTTATTTTCTAGACTTGACTTGGGATAGAAAAACAGGAGGCAAGCCCCTAATTGGAAGCTTCCTTTGAATTCTAATCTATGAGCTCTTTCGATTTTCAGGGCTATAAATCAAAAGTACAATTCCCTTTCAGACATTTTCCATTAAAAAAACTTTGTAATTTTGGAGTCTAGTCATTTTAGAGTTGGAGGAGCCAGTCTAGACAGCAATGCATGTTCTCCTTAACCTTGCTCCTCAGAGCTAAAAGGAATTGAGTGTTGATACTATACTACAATAGCCATTACCTGCTGCTACAATAACATTGGGTCCTTCAGGGAACCTGGATTCGCATTCTTGACTCACTCTTGGCCCAAACTTGCTCAAAGTATTAATGTTCCTCTAGTTATAAAGTAGTACAATAATCTGTATTTTTAATGAAAAAAGAAAGTTCTATAAACTTTTAAAATTTACTTTATAAGTACTTACCTAAGTATTTCTTTTGACCAAATTCTATAGTAACGTGTTTAATGTAGTTGTAATGTACAATCATGCTTTGTATTTTGAGCCTCTTAGTGTTCCACATAAATTTATTTCTTTTCTGATGCATATCTAATAAATAATATTAATTCGTTCATTACTCTACACATTCAAATCATTTGAATGATTTTTGGTAGAAAAATTCCCTAACATATATTGCTTCATGAACAAACTTGAGACAGAAAGTTTCCTTCATGAACAAACTTGAGACAGAAAATGTTAATATCCTAATGACATGTTGACAAACATCATAGGATTTCCCCTACATCAGAACATTTAGACAAAGTTGATTCTGCCACCTCTTAGTCATCGTCAATGAGCTCTTCTCTGCCACCTCTTAGTCATCGTCAATGAGCTCTTCTCAGCTTACCATTTTTGAACAGACTAACATTATTGTGATCATCTAGGGAAACTAGATAACCAAGCTTGTTACCTTATATGCAAGTCTTAATTAGTGATCTCCGAATTTGACATTACCTTCATACAGCCACCCCAGGGAAGAATGTTTGGGCCTCAGACAGCTAATTTCTATAGTCCATGAAGATATTTATTATATCTTGCTTATTTTGACAAAATCCTGGAAGACTGATATTGTTCCAGATTAACTGAAGAGTCAGTGGATATAAGCTGCTACCTAGTTGTGGTGCGTCATTTACACAAAAGTTATAATTGATGTAGCCAGGGCCTTATTTACAATGATTTTACCAATCATTTAGTGTAATTTTTGTCATCATTTAGTGTAATTTTTCCTTGAAGCATTAGAGATGAGAATGCTGGTGTGCTGACCTAACTTCTTAGACAAAAGCTTTCTTTTTAATTTGGAAATTCTAATGTTGCTTATCAAAGGAAGGATATGAATTTGAGTCGTCCCCAAAGCATAAATATAAAAGAGCAAATATCAATCTTCTTTCATTTAAAGACCTAAACCAAATCTTAAAAGGGGCAAAGGAACAATATCTAATATGTCTTACTTTGAAAAGTGACAAAGAAGGTCAATGCCAGTGTGTTACTCAGGTAGCTACCTAATAGGCTAAGAGGAAGCCAAGGACTGAGGTATTCCTTGCATGTGAACTTTCAGCTCGCTTTCGTGTGGTATTTTTCTGTTTTTAAACATTCTTACTTCTCTTTCTCCCTTTCTGTCTTTGCCGCCTCCCCTTGTATGTTCCTCATTACATATTGCAGCAGTTTTAATTTGCTATTTACAATTTTGACTATCTCATTCAAAGAATATACGCCGGTATGTCAAGATTTGGAATTTTTTTTTTAAATCAGCAGACTCATGAATGTAAATGAATTCAGGTGGCAAAGTAGTCCAATGAATCTTTTTGTGTTCAGTGGATGCCAGACTACTATTTTTGTGGTTGTTCATTTAACAAAACTGGAAGGGAAACTTCTCATTATCATTGAGTATAAGACTTTGCCAGCATATTTAAAAATTGCTAAATGCAGCTTAGCAATGGTGGGAGGACAACACTGTCTCACCTCTGTGTGATTTTGTCTCCTCCTTCTCACTCTTGAATAATCTGGTTAGCGATGAATGTGGTGGCTTCTGCCTCTGAAGTGATGCTTTGCCTAGGAGGCCATTTGGTACCTTTGAGGTTCTTGTCTAGAAAAGAAACTTTAAATATATAGTAGAAACAGAGAAAATGGTCTTTACCAACATCAAGTGATATTTTGGTGTAAACTTGTTTGCTGGGGTGCTGCCCACTGATAGCCTTTCTTGCACTGACAGGTCAACAATCTCCTGAGAATGACAATACCATCAAGGACCTGCTCCCAGAAGATGCAGGGATTGACCACCAGACAGTTCACCAGCTGATCACAGTGCTAATGAAGTTCATGGCCAAGGATGAGAGCAGCGCGGAGTCAGACATCAGCAGCGCAAAGGCCTTCAACACCGTCAAGCGACACCTGTATGTCTTACTTGGTTATGACCAACAGGAAGGCTGCTTCATGATTGCACCTCAGAAAATGCGCCTGTCAACTTGTTTTAATGCATTTATTGCTGGAATTGCCCAAGTAAGTATACTAACAACTTTCAGAAGTCACAATATTAGATTTTGGATATAAGCAAGGCATAAAATTCCATTTAGAAACTCATGCTGATTGAGTATAAATAAAAGATCGTGCAAATTAGTTGGCATTAGTCAGTTTGTGAAGATTAACATAGAAATAAATAAGAATCAGCAGCTTAGTATCATGAAGGGAATGTTTTTGTAAAATGTGACATAAAATTGATCATTTTAGCCATATTTCAACTTACGATTTGGTGGCATTAAGCCCTTGGACTTTGTTATGCAACCACCATTCTCCATCTCTAGACTTTATCATTCTAAAATTCTATACCCATTAAATGATAAAGAGGTGGAAGTTGTCATGTGAGTTTTTTAAAAAGTCCTTTTCCTTTTTGACTTCCAGTGGAGAGTTATGGTAATCATTATTGGCTTTTCCATGTTTATCTGCTACTTCAAACTGTTGTATCACATGCCATTCTCTGTATTTCCCACACTACTTATCCATTCCCCTAGTGATGGACTTCATATTGTCTCCAACTCCTTACTACAGCAGACAGCTTAGTAATGGACATCCTGTATATGCACCTATAAACTACTGTGAGAATTCTTTTGCGATATGGATGCAGGAACAAAATTGCTGGATAATTGGCAAATATTTGTGACTAGTTAAATTAATGCTATTCGTTTTGCTCTCTAGGGTAACTGCACCAGTCTGCAAGGGTGTAGGACTTGGGGCTAAAAAGATGTTAATGTCAACTGCAGTTTTGCCACTCTTATTAGTTCTTAGGCATCCCCTTCTCATTTGCTCATCAGTAACAGATTTATTAGAGATGACATATTGCAGAGCACTTAATCAGTGGCTGTCTCATGGTATGGACTCAAGAGATGGTAATCATTACTATCAGTGAGCTCAAACACTGTAGTATAATGAAAACAAATAAGCAAAGTGAGAGTAGTATGCATGTAGTTAATCTCTTACTGATACTGGTAACTGATAATTCCGTATTGTTGAATATGGAGATTAATTTCAATTTGGGACAGCAAAGCCTTGCCGAATATCTTTACGCATAGTTCTTAGAATGCTTATTTGATTATTTCCTTAGAGAGTGCATTTAATTGCTATATAAAAGGGTATGTGCTTTTTTTTAAAACTCTGAATACATCCTGTCATGAAAGGTTGTACTAAGTGGTGCGAGTGGTATATACTAGTGCCCATTCTGGTTGCCAGTATAATTTTTTTCCCAGTAAGCCTAGTTCAATTCTAGTTAACAGTTTAATATTTTAAATAATCTATTTTTTATTTTCAGTAGATAATGAAGTAAATAGAAAAAAGCTTTCAATTTACAATATTTCTTGTGAGGTTGAGCTTTTCTCCTTTTATGTATACTGGCTATTGTTACTACTAATATTTTGTGAGATGCATGTGTTTTTGTTGTGATAGTTTAAATTTTTCCTTTTGACTTCTAAGGATTCTTTATAGTTTTCTTTCAGTTACTAATATTTTTCCTGTTTCAGGTTATGGACTATAACATTAACTTGGGAAAACATCTTCTTCCCTTGGTAGTTCAGGTGCTCAAATACTGCTCTTGTCCTCAACTACGGCATTATTTCCAACAGCCGCCTCGTTGTTCCCTCTGGTCCCTAAAACCTCACATCCGGCAGATGTGGTTGAAGGCCTTACTTGTCATCCTTTACAAGGTGAATTGCTGCAGTCCCTCTGTTTTTGGGTGGAGTGGTCCTCTTAGAGAGTTCAGCTTTAGGAAAACACCTAAGAGATTTGAGAATTTGCTAGGATAAAAAAATTTGACTTTTAGAAGAATCATCATGATATTTCTCTCAGTTAGTATTGAGAAGCAAGAACTACTGAAATGAAAGTAGAAATGGGAGGCCATATCAATACATGCTCTCACAATGTTTTTAAAAATAGTGAATTGTGAGGAACTGATTAGTAACTTCTGATTGTGCTCATATTCTCAGCTAGAAAACGAAGAAGATATTTGAAATTGTATTCACCAGTTATCTATACCAAATAATGTTCTTGAAGGCAGTTGTAACTGTAAACTGGCCTGTTTTACTTTCATTGGAAGAGGAAGAGAATATATATATATATATAGCCATGATCAAAAATCTGTGTTTTTACTTTTCTATATAGTCTTTTTATACCCAAAAGATACTAAGAGAGAATCTGGCATGACCAATTAGAAAAGCTTATTTTTTAAAATGACTGTTTGTATTTTTCTCCCTCTCTTTTATTGATCAGTATCCATACAGAGACTGTGATATCAGCAAAATCCTGCTGCACCTGATTCACATAACAGTCAATACGCTCAATGCACAGTACCATAGCTGCAAGCCCCATGCAACGACAGGACCTCTGTACAGTGACAACAGTAATATAAGCAGATACAGCGAAAAAGAGAAAGGTACTTTCCATATAAAAATTCTACCCACAAATTTGTTTATATACGTAATATGTTTATGGACAGTTCTTTTCTTAGGACATAAAGGAGTGCTCTCAAATATCATTGTGAAATAAAACAAATCACTATTTTTTAAATCTCAACTTTCCCATGAATGTTGCTATCTTAACTTTTTAATTGAGAAATAACTGATATGTTTCTAAAATCCTTAAGAAATCATGTTATGTAAAATGTTTTCAGCCATTTGATTAAGAAAGTTTTATAAACTTTTCCTTATATGTTGGAGACATCTTGTTTTTGGACTGTCTTGGTTGGTAATTAGAAGAGCCATCATTTAAGATTCGCTAGTTTACCCCTGAACTTGGTACCCATAGAATTTGAATGGAGTCTAAATTTGTTGAAATGCTTTTTTCTTAGCCTCATTATTGAAATTTAACAGTTCTAGTGCATAAGTTTGAGTTATTTCCAATGTTGACAATTTTTCTATTGATAACTTTCCCTCAAAGGAGACAGCAGAATTAAACTTTAATTATAATAAAATTATGGTCTGGGTGTTTTCAGGTGCGAGATAAAGAACCAAGGTTCGTATCTGTAGTGAATGTCACACATGGTATGATTAGACACATCATCTATTCCAATTCTGGGAGAAAGCCAGGTGTCTGGTGACCACTTATAGTGTCAATACAACCCGAATTCTTAGGAAATACCTTAGTAGGAGGAATTGGAGCCAGGGTTACATTGTTTGTCTATTGCTTAAAGAGTCAAGAATCTAGGTTGACTTCTTTAAATTCTGGAACTATTCAGATCCTTCTTGAAGACTATCTTGCCTACTAGCTTAGGTTGTAGTCTTTGGGTAATCGGGTGGGGGTAAGTTCTATTAAATTGTGAGTGTTCTCAGTGTTTGGGCTGATCCCAGATGAACCTTTCTGCATAGGAGATGCCATCTTCTGTCTTCCTTTCTCTAATATTTAGCATATTTTGAAAATTATTACACAGCTGTGTAATGGAAATCTCAATAGCTATTTGTTCAAAAACTGTATATTTCAAAGATTATTTTAAAAAGGATAAAAAAGAGAAATAAAATAGATCATTTTGTTACATTTCTCCAGAAACTTGAGAATTTGGTGGACATTCTCATCTCTGTGGAAGTTCACTGGGAGCTTTGTATCCATTTTGGTCTATAATATTTTTATTTGATTTAAAAAGATTATTATGGTTATTTCTGCATTTACTGCTTTAGATTTTATTTGCTTGTAGACTTTTGTGCATTAGGATAGGATAAATCCTTAAAACTTAACACTTTTATTCTTCCTTTGTATTTAAGAAATTTTGAATAATCATAATCCCACCGCAGCCTCATTTTATCATATATAGCTATAAACATAGGCCAAATCTAATTCTAGTGTACTCAGTTCAAATAGTAGGTTAATTCCATTTATTGTGTTACTAAAATGCATGTTAATATCCTTTTCTTTTGCTGCTTCGTATATGGTATTGGCCTTTCCAAAGGATGGAAAAAGAAAATTGTTTAAGTGTACTTTGTGAGTTGCAACATAACAATTCTTTGCCTACTAATGTGTATTTAGGTTTATTTTATTTTAAAAGTGAACACACGGGGATAGAAGAAAGGACAAAGATATAAGTTTAGTAGGCATGCCAAGTGATCCATTTGTTATGGAGACTTAAGATTAGAAAAGTCAAAAATTCTTTCTGGGATTCATCAGACCTGTAAGAGTTACACATGGTAAACACCTCACAGAAGAGTCTTCTTTAATAGGAAGAAATGTTATTTTCTGTTTTCCTTTTCCTTTATTTTACCCTTTCAGTCCATAATCATTTGTGGAGCTTTTGAGATGACAAGTGGCTTTTCTAAGCTTTATCTGTGTGTTGTGTGTTTCATTGCAAATGTAGAGTACAGTATTTTGCATTCACAAAGTATAAGGTGCATGTACTGTTAGGCTGTGTCTATGCCAGTTCCCGTATCCCAACAAGGCATATACTTTTTGGAAGGGGCAAGACCCACTAATCTTGTTTAATTTCCCTTTGTGAAATTAGCCTGAAATTCTACTCAGTACAGGCAAGTTCAAGTATCGTCATAAACTTCTGAGCAAAATAGCTGGCATCTGTGTATCATTTGGTTTTAAGCGTACTGGAAAAGTTTCGCCAGGAATGCTCTATTGGAATATTGAAATGCTTCTCAAAAATGCTGCCAATTGTCACATAAAAAACGATGGGTAATCTTCCAACAGGTTGCATTGCTCAGCCTATGGTTAATTTGAAGCCTGGGTGAAATATCAACCCATTGCTAGACTTGAAGAAAACACCCCAGACTGTTCCAGAATGCTTTCACTGAAATGCTTGTGTAGACACAGCCTAAGAGAGAGTAACCTCTTAAGTGTAATTTTGACTTTCTCTCCCCAATTAGAAGAAGATAGTGTTTTTGATGAATCTGATATTCATGATACACCTACTGGACCCTGCAATAAAGAGTCTCAAACTTTTTTTGCAAGATTGAAAAGGATAGGCGGCAGCAAAATGGTGAAATATCAGCCGGTTGAGATGAATGTTCAGAGAAGTATGAATTTTTTCTCTTAGTAATTTTATGCAGAAATGTTGTACTCTACTGTTTGTTTGGGGTGAAATCTTAATTTTATTATGTTACCACATATTTTGATATTGTTGATTTTATATATATGTATGCACAACAGTATATATATACACATTTATATATATACGTGAATTAACAGATACATCATTAACGTCATGATTGTCTTCAAGGGCCATTGCTTGATTTGATTTGTTGCAAAATGTTTGCTTCTCTTTCACACAATATGAATACAGTTTCCTAGATCTGCCTCAGCCAAAAAATGATCCCCTCTTCTATGTACAAATGAACAGAGCTGAGGAATTATCCTAAAGCTTGATTTTGGAAATCAGATCTTAAACTACCTTTTTGATTTCTTTCATTCCAAAATTTTTCAGTTTCTGAAATTAGAATGAGCCTTACAAGAATTTGGCCAGAAAGTCAGATTTCCATTCTGGTGGAGCTGGGATTGTGATTATGATTTATGCCAATAGTGTGCCCAAATATGAGGGGAAAGATGGTAAAATCTCCAAGTAAAATAGTACTAGCTTTTTCTGTTTTAATTAGGTGAAATAGAACTGGCTGAATATAGAGAAACGGGTGCTTTACAAGACAGCATTCTCCACTGTGTGAGAGAAGAAAGTGTTCAGAAAAAAAAGCTGCGCTCTTTAAAACAAAAATCTCTTGATATAGGGAATGCAGACTCCCTCTTGTTTACATTAGATGAGCATCGTAGAAAGTCTTGCATAGATCGGTGTGACATAGATAAGCCTCCTGCCCAAGCTGCTTACATCATACAAAGACAAAATGACCATGGACGTTCTAGACAGAACTCTGCTACAAGGCCTGACACCATTGAAATACCTGAGAACCCAGCTATGGAGAGTTTTCAAGAAACCCGAAGGCCTGTAATACCAGAAGTTAGGTTAAACTGCATGGAGACATTTGAGGTGAAAGTTGACTCTCCAGCGAAGGCTGCTCCTAAAGAAGATTTAGATCTGATAGATTTGTCTTCTGATTCAACATCGGGGCCTGAAAAACACTCCATACTCTCAACTTCAGACAGCGACTCTCTTATATTTGAACCTCTTCCACCTCTCAGAATCGTGGAGAGTGATGAAGAGGAAATGATGAACCAGGGAAATGATGGCGCTTCCGGTAACAATGCTGCCTCCTCCCCCTCTACCCTGAGCCATCCCTCCGTCCTCAGCCTAAGCACTACTCCTCTTGTGCAAGTAAGTATAGAGGACTGTTCCAAAGATTTCTCCTCTAAGGACTCAGGAAATAATCAGTCAGTAGATAACAAAGACTCTGCACTCATATTCCTGGAAGATCCTACGGACTCGGAAGGTTTTTCAAAGCCAGAGGAACTGCGAGAGTTCTCTGGCAGCCCACTAACACTTAAGCAAAAGCGAGATCTCCTCCAGAAGTCATTTGCTCTCCCTGAGATGTCAGTGGATGATAATCATTACCCTGGCACTGAGGAAGAGAAACCTGGGCAGATGCCAACCTCAGGGGTAAAAACTGTACTTCTCAAAGTTCCTGAAGATGCTGAGAATCCAACAGAAAGTGAGAAGCCTGATACCAGTGCCGAATCTGATACAGAACAGAATCCTGAAAGGAAGGTGGAGGATGGAGCTGAGGAATCAGAATTTAAGATTCAGATTGTTCCCAGGCAGAGGAAACAAAGAAAGATTGCAGTCAGTGCTATCCAGAGAGAGTACCTTGACATCTCCTTCAACATTCTAGACAAATTGGGAGAACAGAAAGATCCAGGTAAGCTCATCTCTCTTCTTTTTCCCAGCCTTACCTTCAAGTTTGCGCATCTTACCTGGCAGAGTTTTGGCAAAGAATATCTATCAAACTCAAAGTCTTATAATATCAGAGTCTTATAATATCAAAGTCTTATAATATCAGCCATTATAATGGCTTCATTCTTCCTGCTCTGAATTCTTCCTGCTAAGTTAGTAGAATGTGGTGGATTCAGTTGTGGTTTCTTCTGGCTCCATAAATGTTTCTGTGTTTGTTGTCTCTCAACTCTATAGTTAGCTCTTGACTGTGCTTGGCAATACGAGGCAATGGTTAATTCATATCAGGATTTCAAATGTAATTTTAGCCTTTCTCAAACAGAAGCCATAAATTTGAACTCTTTTTGCTCTTTTTCCTGTTCTATGATGATACAATCCAAAGGAGAAATAAATGTAAAGCACTAAAATAAAGCAAAGGTACTTGAAATGATTAAAAACTGACTGTGTAATCATTTAGAATCTGCTCTTGATTGCATATACTAACCAAATATCAGGAACCAGAAACTACCAGTTACCACCTAGACCTTAATCCATGGACACCATTTGATGATGAAATTGGCAGAGCACATGAATTTCTTGTCTCAAGCATCACTTCATATGTTTTCCTGGAAACTCTATTTCTTAGAAGATAACTTTAAAAAGTGCCAAGCTAATACTATACTAGTACTAGTACACTTCTGTAATATTGCAATGCTGTTTGGGCAGTGACACTTAATTTTAGTACATTCAGAGACCAGAGAACATTGAAAACTGACAAAGATCTTATAGACCTGTAGTCTAGCAACCTCTTTTTATACAAGAGGATTCAGAGGCTCAGAGGAAGAAGGGATGGGCACTGTTCCAGGTCAAACTGCCTGCACTGTCCTTCCAATTCTAGTCCTACTCTATTCACTGCTTCGCCTTAAAGGAACTCCTGTGAGAATGTGCTTGGGCTCTTTTAATTTGTCCCAGGCTGGTAACTGTGTGTTTAAAGCTGTTCCATAGATGTCTGCTGATTGAACAGCAGTATGTCTGGAGAGGGTCATGCTCTGGCCAAAGAAAGGGGAAAAAGGTCTTGTACATAACAGGAAAATGCAGTAAGTCAGGGAGATTTCAAAGGAAACTGGAATGCCTTTTTGCTGTATGGAGCCAGGAAAATTTCTTCATATGGGTAAAGGATAGCATTGGCCTAGAAACTACAGAGATTTATAGGGTAGAATTTATAGGGCCCCACGATGGGCAAATAGGTTTTAATATGTGTTTGTGTATGCATGCGTTTACCCACCTCATTCACCATTAGGTCGTTGCTCCCTGGCTACCAAAGAGGAAATTGTTTTCAAATTCATATATTTGACATCAAAATAAGAGAAAAGTATCTGACAGTTATAATTTGTTTAGCTTATTAGTACAAGTGTATAGTACATAATGTTTACATTCCTTGTGGGCATTTGGTACATGTATATAACACATCTTAATTCCTTTTTTCCATCCCCTTTTCTTACCCTCCTTCTACGCATTTCTTGATCCTTTTTTTATTTCTGTACACATTTGTAGTACATAAAGTTTACGTTCCTTGTTTGGAGTTGTGCCTGTACATAAAACATCCCAATTCCTTTTTTCATCGCTTAGCCCTTTCTGCCTCCTACTCCCTCAATTTTATGACTAAGTGTTTTAAATTGTTTTATATTATTATACTATTATAACACTGTCTAGCTCTGCCGTCCTCTACTTCCTGCAGACACATAGCTCTTCTGCCCTTCCCTGCTGGGCACTGGGAGGAGGCTCCCATGAACTCAAAGGATGACTCAGATCTCCCTAGACTTTCTTGCCTCTCCCAGCAGGAGTGAGAGGCCCAGACACCCACACCATCTAATTGTTGCAGACTCACAACCTTGCCACTCATGGCTAATTACCTGAAGCCCAGGACTAATTTTATTGTGCACTTTCTGTGACAGTTTTATTTTTGGTTTTGGTGAGAGGTCCCCGAGTGCTGAGTCACTCCCTCATCTCCCCGAGATTTCCATAAGACCTTGCACACAGAAAGTGTGCTGAAGTTCTGAAGTTTTCTACCAGTCTGCCCCAATTCACAAGCAAGTTGAAACCCAGCCTGGGCAACTTGGTGATTTAGCAAGATCCTGTCTCAAAAATAAAAGAAGAGGAGGAGGAAGAAGAGAAGAAGGGAAGGGGGAAAAGGAAGAAAAAGAGGAGGAAGAAGAGGAGGGGGAGGGGAAAAAGGAGGAGAAAGAAAGGGCTGTGGAGGTAGTTCAGTGTAAAACCCTGAGTTCAATCCCCAGCACCACAAACACACCCTTGCCCTGTGTCCTCAGAAATTCGAGATCCTTAATGAACAAAATCTCTTATATGTTCTCTCCCCAGTGATTATTTCATTGCCTTTAATAGAAGCCCTGCTGTTCCTGAAGATACTGCTTTCCTAACAGCTCTGCATCACTGGGCTTGGGCGAGAGATTAGGCATCTTTCTTGACATCATTCATTCAGACCATTCTCTCTTTGCGTCTAACAATTCCCAGTTTTGAATCTCCTGTTACCTCACCATGCCAATCACAGTCTCGTTGTTACACCATTACTAAACTGGCTCTTTCTTATTTGCTGAAAAATATGATTCCTGGCTCTTCTTACTCGTTTCTAAATTATTACTGCCCTATATGTGTTGATTTCAACACTAGTGTCTCTTTTGACACTCTCTAGCTTTGTTTCTCAGTTCCTGGAATTCGTCTTCTCCAGGATTTTTTCCCAACACCTTAGCTCAGTTATTTATTGCCGAGATCATATCACAGATCTAGTTATTACCAATAACCACAATCTTTTGATAGCATTGATTTCATCTTCTAGTACCTGATTAGCATTTTCCCTCTTTCCTAATTTATTCTATCATCTTTATCATCTCTCTCCTACTTCACATCCTTTCTCCTCACTCATCTTAAATTCAAGTTATAACTGTAAGCTGTCCCTGCTTATACCTTTTGCTTTTTCAGATTTGTTGGACTAAACACAACTCTTGTTAAAGTCTCTATTTACGTGTATTTGTCAGATGAATATGACTAGAAAAAACACATAATGTAGACTTACTCACTTGAAGTTCATGACCTTAAGCCTTACCTGGGCCCTTAAAGCCACCTGGCAGGCATACCATTTTCTTGCTCCATATTTCTAGTCTCTCAAGTGATGATTTTTCAGCTACTTTTCTCCCTACACTTTCAATCATTTTTCCTATTTGATGTCATCAGAAGGAATTTCCATAGCCTTTCACTTCCTTCTTTCCAGCATCTGCACCTATGCACTCAGCTTTCTGTGTGTGCTATGTTCCCGTCCAAGATCTTATTTTGTCTGTATTTCCTATATTCTGCTCAAAGATATAAGTTCACCAAATTCTCCACTCTTTCTCTTCCCTTTTTTCTTTCTAAAGAACTCTTGACTTGAGCATACAGGCATAATCTTATCTTCTGTCTTTATTAAAAAACAAACCAGTGTTCTTTACCCTAATTCTTCCAACTATTATCACTATCTCCAATTTTCTCTCACTGTATTCACTCTAAAAATCATTCTTATAAAGCTGTCATTCCCACTTCACCAACAAAATTGTTCCTTTTAACTTTAACAGGTTAACCTGTCAAGGACCTCTCTTGCTAAATCCAGTGGCTGGCTCTTAGGTCTTATACTCTTGACATGTCTTCAATATTTAATTTAGTTAATTGCTTGCATTTCACTTGGTTTTCAGGACTCTGTACTCTCTTGGTTTTCCTCTTGTTCAGCAGTCACTCCTCAATTTTTTTTGTGGGTTCTTCTTCGTCTCCCTAATGAAAGAGTGCCCAAGGTCTCTTTTCTTGATCTTCTTCAATATGGACATTCACTTTCTTAGTGAACTTATCTAGTCTTACAGCTTTATGTATTGTTTGCATGCTTTATTGTCAGTTAGCTATTGATAATAATCAGCAGCATCATACAGCAATAAGTATTTAGTTTAAGAGTCCCTTGGTCATCTGGGGATTGACTAAGCTATGCTACACTTAGTTGGGTGGCCAGGCTCTGCTTCTCATGCCCACCAACCTCCTCTATGTTCCATGAGGCCTGGGAATGTTTTCTTATGGTTATAGCAGAACCACAAGAGAGCAAACCCAGTTGCTTTTCAAGTACTTTTCAAGCCTTTGATCACATTATGCTTCTATGCATTTTGTTAGCTAAGGCAAACCACATGGCTAAACTGAAGCCAAGAGGAGAGATCTACTCTGCTTCTTTTGGGGGAGGAATTTGAAAATCACACAGTGATTGGCATCAGTTGAGAGAGTAAAGAACTGGGGCCTGCGTGGATGTATTGGTAATAAAAATCTGTTGGTATTCTAAAAGTAAAATTTGGTTGAGAATCCTTTTTTATCTGGCAAACACATTCTATCTTCAAAACATCCTGAATGTGACATCATCTTGTAGTACACTGATTGTTTCTACCCTGGCCTAATCCATGAATATCTCTTACCTGACCACTTTTAAGCCCCCTAACTGGTCTTCCAACTTCTACTATTATTGTCTTCATGTCCTCTCAACACAAGAGCTACATGAGTCTGTCAAACATGGGATCATAATTCTAGTGAATCCTCATTTCCTTGATAGTAACATATCGAATTGTTTAAATATCTAGAAAGCCCTACATGGTCCCTGTCCTCTGTAACTGTCTTACTTCACTTGTACTGTTCTTTCCACAATCCTACTTCCCCATTGTGATCTCTTGCCATTTCTTGAGTACATCCTATGTATTCCTGCTGTAGGGCCTTTACAGTAGCTGGTGCCTTGACCTGGAACTGTCTGATAGCTGCTTGGTTCATTACCTCACTTCTTTTTGATCAAACATCAGGCTTAAAAAAAAATCAGGCTCACAATGGGGCCAGCTCTGGACTACAGCATACCTTTCTATCTCTACCTGGCATCTTGGTATTTCTTTTCTTTTCTCTGTTTCTCTTCTACAAACAATTGATCTATAACATGCAATAATTTGTTTATCTTTACACATATTATTGTCCATCTCCCCTTATAAAAATTAAAGGCAATGCTTTTTATCTGGTTTGTTCACTGATTTTATCCAATTAATGAGGAGAGTGATGGCAAATACCCAATAAGAGAAAGGATAGTACAACATTTTGTGCACCTTCGTATAAGAAAAAACTCAGTACAAACCTATTAAGACAAGCAGATACCTGGGATCACAATTTTTTTTTTTTTGAGATAGTGTCTTGCTCTGTAATTCAGGCTGCCTTGAACTTACTATGTAGCCCAGGCTGATCTCAAATTTGCTACGATTCTCTGCCTCTGGCTTCCAAGTGCTGGGATTATAGGCATGCACTACCATGCCAGCATGGGTTCAGATTTTTGTCTTAAACTATATACAGATAAAAGGCTTTATAACATGAGGACTGAGAATAGATTGGAGTCTTAGTAAGCCAGTGATTGTTAATAATTTTCTTACAGTAATGCTGTTTAAGATTATAGATACATCAGTGATTTTAATAAGTGTACCCAAAGCTCTAAAAGTCATAATAATTTTCCAAGGAATTATTAAAAATAAACGTTAGTGTTCTCATTCTATAGTGAAATTATTGTGGCATAGTCACAACACACATAGAATAGTGGTAAATAAGGGTAAGAGTGAGATTAGATATTTTGGACTTATCATTTGGGAAGGAGATGGAGAAAAAAATAATACTTAATCTTTAATATCATGAAGACTAAAATAACATACCTAGTAATTTTTGTTCTGTTTAGGGAACTACAACAGTTATACTTTTTATTATCAAGAAGTCATTAATGTGGCAGCCATAGTTATTCACAGAGATCTTTGAAAATAAAAAATAGATGTTCCAAAATCAACATTCAAAAATTTCCTTACAGACCCTCACTTAATATCTATTTTTCTTTTATTTCTGACAGTTTAGCAGGCTTAATCAATCGTAACAGCAAATACTTGATTTGTATATACATGAGAATGTATGGCAGATTACTCTGTGGCAAGAAAAAACAATTTGCACTATGAAAAAGATGAGGCAAGATATTTTTTAGCTTAAGAATTTGAAGCTATTTAGAGTAAGTATCTATGTACGACACTAGGTGTCATGATGGTAACTCCAAGTCACCAAGAAGCTCAGTATACTCATTGCCTGGTGCTTCTGATCACAGAAAAAGATGTGTAAAGTTTAGGAGGTTTGTTGTGACAAACTACTTAACTTTTTGGAAAGTTTTCAAGCTTAGTATATTGTTACCTAGAATAACATGGGCCAGCCAGTTTCCCATTATTGATAGGTAAATATATGCAGGAAAGACTTCACCATAATATGTTATCAAATAGAAAAAGGAACTGGTATTGTCTGTTTCTTGTTTAGCTAACAAAATATAATATCTGAGTATTTGGTATCACATGCAGTGCTTACTTTTAAATTACTTCTGGTATAGCACATTTATAGGGAGGTAAACAATTACATTATAGTGTGATAAGTTTCGAAAAGGTGCCTATGTTTAAGATGCTTACCTGGCCTGATGTTTTGCATTTGGGAGGAAAATGGAGCTTTGGGAGCCTCCTTGGAAACAGAGTTTTCTGTGTGAATTGAGACATAAATGATGAGTAGGAAACTTCTAGGCAAAGGTGGAGATAGTTGGAATGGAACAGTTAAGCATCTTTAGGTATTAGATGAAAAATTCAGTATGGGAAGATTAACCAACGAGTCAAGGATATGTGTTGTGAACATTCTCGGTTTTAGTTTTGTAATCATACTATCAGTCTCTAAGAGACATTCCATAGTTGCAGGCTTTAATGCAGAATCAACCCTCTATGGGCTTTGAAACTATTACATATGTTATCCTATTAGTTATAGGCCAGGAACTATGTAAAGATTTGAGTGGGTGTGGTAAGCAAGGGGAAAAAAGATGGAAAATTTTGCCTCTTGAACTTGCTTTTCCTAAGTGTCTTAAATTTTAAATAATGTTTTAATTTGTAGATCCCTCTACTAAAGGACTTTCAACTTTGGAAATGCCACGAGAATCTTCATCTGCCCCTACATTAGAAGCAGGTGTGCCAGAAACAAGTAGTCATTCCTCAATATCAAGTAAGAGTTCCTCTGCTGATCATTCCACTTGTGCATTGATTTTTAACAGTCTACTGCATTGTTTTCAATTTTGCAATCATGTTTCATTTTTTTCCTTTTTAAAATGTTATGTTTGCTCCTGGTGACGCTATGCTATGTAAATAGCTAAATATTATATGCAGGAAATATTATATGCATGAGGATGTGTGGCTGTGTGTTCTATGAGCCCTTGAGGAGTAGCACGGCCCAGTTTTGTCCAAATACCAAGTATCTGATTACTTGTGGTTACTGATTAGCCGAGAACCTTAATTTGTTAAAGAATAATTACTGAATTTCATCATTCAATAAAATAAAAGCTATCTATTACTAACCTGAATATAAAATATGATTCTGGTTATACACCATGTGCAAAGCGCTGCCCACAGAAGGATTGTGCATGGAACATGTTTATGAAATTTAAATTACTTATAACATTGACAATATTTTATCTAGGTTATCACGTAATACATATGAGTAAATATAACATTTTTGAATTGGTAAATTAGAATAACATGGCATTTTTAGGTTCTATAGGAAGCTGTCATTTTGAAACTGCCTTTCATTGTGGGTCCTAGACTTTGTCTGCAAGAAGCTTGAATTCCACTGAGGTTTCATTAGAGTGCCACCTCTGTCAGTGGAGTCAACAAGATTTCAGCATAGGAAATTCTTAATAACAGTCAGAGACACATAAGCTACAACTTGTGCAAACCTGTGTCACATGTGCTGACAAATTTTGTGTTCCATGTAGATGCTAGCTGGGGAGCTAGTTAATTTTCATTTGACCATCTTTTGAAATGAAGATAATCCTGAAAAGCCAAACAAAGAGCTTAACATAAATGTTGGACTGGTAGTATGGAACATCATATCATGTTCATCATCCATTCATTTGTGCGTTCATTCATTCAGGAATTGTGTAATGTCTGCTGTGTGCCAGGCATTGTGTTTGGCACTGAGAAAAAAGGTGAATAAAAAATATGCCCCTTGTTCTCAAGGGTACAATTATGACACTAACAATGCTACCATTTATTTGACACCTGTCATGTGCCAGGCACTGTGCCGAATGGCTCACATCCACTGCTATCTAAGCCATGGCAGATTGTCGATCTCATTTTATAGATTGGGAAACTGAGATTTCAAGAGGCTAACATGACTTGAGTAACATCATATAGTTACTAGGTGATAAAGATGGTAGTTGATGGTCACGCTGTTAAAACTTTTGAATTCATGCTCTTTTTCAGTGTACCACACTGCCTAGAAATAATTCAAAATCAATTGTAATAAGAGATTATAGAAATTCCAAGAAATAATTTCCAAGTAACATTTATTTGCCTTTTGGTAGCAAAGAATGGCTAGCTCTAAACTTAAATGTTCTTTTATACAAAGATCTGTCTGATAACATGATGAAATGCCAAGGTTTAAGTACACATGCAGTATTAAAATCACAAAACATATTTTTCCTGCTAAGTCATCTGAAAACAAAAAGTGAATTGTGGTTACAATTTCAAGTAGATATAATGTCAGATACTCATATAAATGTATTATAAAATAAATATATCAAGCTCATCATGATCACAAAATCATGACTGAATAATAGCCTTTTTGAATTTAGTTTATTAGTGCATCATTAGATTTCCACCTTTCCCCTCCTTGCCATTAAAAGCATGCACTTTTTACCTCTTGGAGGCATGAGTCTTAAAGGATGAGCTAAACAGTAAGGATTTTTACTTTCAGAAATTCTGCTGTCTTTGGAAACAATTAAAGAGGCTGGGATGTAGCTTGGTGGTAGAATACTTACCAAGCAATTGGTATGGCCATAGGTGTGATCCTCAGCACTGCAAAAGCCAAAAAGCAGACAAATGAAAAAAGAAGAACAAACTTAGAATTGGAGAAATTACTGTTACTGTTTTGAAATCCTTATATGAGTCTGTGAGAAGCTACTAATTTTTAAATTTATTAAATCTTAAGTTTCTGTTCTTGAATTTTACTTAAAGTTGTACTTTTCAAATGAGTCAGAAAATTAAATTTTGCCAATCATCAGCCTAAATCAGACATTTAATGTTAGACTGATTAGTCATTTCCCTGTTCAGTTAATATGGACTCCAAGACATAAGAATTTCCATCACTCTCTTTTCTTCCTCAATGTGCTAATTATTTTGTAGCCAACCATATTGTGACCACCATAAACCACACAGCATGGTAATTACATTAGAAATAATGTTATAATTGATTTCACTTTACACCAAGTTGGTGTCTTGGTACTATGATTGTGAAACCTACATATAACATTGAAGGTTTTCCAGGGTCCATACACTCATCCTGATTTCTACCATCCTTTTCTAGGGCATACAGTGTATAGCTTGGATTTCTGAAATTGTACTTAGAGTGAAAAGCCATAAATTATCAAATATTTAGGTTTTGGGGCATATAGAAAACCCACACTGGGAATGCTCCATCTCTTGTATGGGGCTGATTCTTAGGGCTTGATGAGGCTGCTCACAGGGAAATAAGAGTAAAGGATCTAGGCAGTTTTCTAACTGTCCATTCTATACTAGCAGAATGCTTGGTTGGTTGTTTTCTGGTTTGGAATGCTTATAGTTCACTGGTATGTCAATGCTTGGCTGCAGAGTTGTTTTTAAAAACATTTTTTAAACAAAGTTGTACACAAGAGTACTCTTATGGAATGTTACTTGATTCACATTTTTTAAATCAATAGAAAAAACTCCATACAGAGTTTGGAAACAGTGTTGAATTTAGAGATGATATGTTTTGATTTTAGAACCATGTTAGTTGCTGATTGATTCCACGTAACATAATTTCATTTGCTTTAATTTCTGTCTCTAAAAAATAGGGTTGTATATGTCATCCTATTTTAAAATACACACACACACACACAAACCTCATGGGGATATGACAAAGACTGAAGCCATGTATTCACAAGCCCCACTAAAGAAAGTTAAGCTATAAATTCAAAATTGTATTATCTATCTTAAATCCTTTATAGAATATGGCAGATATGTAAATAAAGTAAATGAGAAGAATCATATTTCATTCAGTTATAACTGGGGTAACTACAGGCTCCAGATCACTACTAAAGGTTACTGTTACGGGCTGGGGATTTAGCTCAGCGGCATAAGCGCCTGCCTTGCAAGCAGGCAGTCGTGAGTTCGATCCCTGGTACCGATAAAAATGAAAAAAGACCAAAAAAAAAAAAAAAAGGGTACTGTTACTATCTCTACTGAGTAAAGAAAAAACATTTGGAATAGCAGAGACCTTACTTTTTCACTTGGCTAGAAGCACATCATTTACCAAAGATTATGAATAGCTAATAAAGATACAATTAAGAGTCAGATGGGGGTGTAGAGCCTTTGTATGCTGTAGAAATTTATTTACCCTAGTAATCATCTCCTAATTTCCTTCATATAGCTCAGTATAGGCAGATGAAAAGGGGATCCCTGGGAGTTCTGACAATGAGCCAGTTAATGAAGCGGCAGCTGGAACATCAGTCTAGCGCCCCCCATAACATCAGCAACTGGGACACTGGTGGGTCAAGCTTTTTCTTCTTGTTTTACCTTTCGAATTAGTTAATGCCACTTTACCTGTGTCCACTCTGCTCCCTTGTTAAAGAATAAATGTTCTCTCATATTTTCTGGTTCAAATAATTTAAAAACTAAAGTTATTAATAAATCTATTTAAACTTTCCAAATGTTCTGGAGCAAGCTGTTCTTCCCTCTAGGCTGGTCCAACTCTTTTTCCTCTAAGACCCAGATTCTAGATCTTAGGTGATTGGTCTGGGGAGGAAGAAATAAACTATGATTTGATGATGTAATTTGGAAAGAACACACACCAAGTATCAATATTCTCTTTTATAAATTTAAAGTACAAAAAAAGAGGATATTAATAGTAATAATAATAGTAATAACAAATGTTAGCTTAGCGAAGTCGTAATCTGCCAGTAGGTTCAGGAATATGAATTCTGTGTTTTAGCCAGCAGGGTCACCAGGTTGCAGCCACACACCCTCATGCTCATTAAATGGAACTGCATCTAGCCTCAGTTTTAAAGTAAGAATTGATTGCCATGACATATATATTTTAAAAATGATCACTGTATTTTCTAAATTTTGTTACAGCATCCTGCACATGTATTACCTTTTCAAACCAGCAGTACTACACAATCCTCTTTTAACTGCCTGCCTTTCCTTGTTTTTTTTTTTTACATTAAATGAGTCATTTGAGTTAACAAGATGATATATGTGAAGCATCTGTGTACTATGAAAATGTAACAGTTTATGATTGTGATACGATTGAGGCAAACATGTGGACTCAATACTGTGGTTTTTAGTATTTTCTGGTTGTGTTTTTATGAGATTATTTCAATATTCTTTCTTAAGATTAGGAATTACAATGTCCACTAAAACAAAAATCTTGATATTCTTCTATATTTCAAAATTGTAATATTCATATATATTCATGTATGTCATCTTATTTGCCCTCATTATTCTTTAAAAACAAAGAGCTCATCTAGTTAACTAAATCCCACATACTACACCCAAGCCCACGTGTAATAATTTCAGTTTTCTTGGACTTTATAAGGTTTATATTTTATAGATATAATGATTTCTCTGTACAATAATAGGTGGAGTAAACTGTAAATAGCCAGAAGTCAACAGGCAAGGGGGAGAAGGAAAAAAATATTGGATAGCTAACCTAGAGAGTTTATTTGCTTTGGGTGAAGTCTTTCCACTTATACCACAGAGGACAATGTTTGACTCTTACTAATGGGAGCTGAGAATGGCAGATTTGTTTGGCATTGTCTCTACCATTAAATGCCCTGGTTGAACCTGGAGGGACTATTATTTTACCACATTATTGAAGTAACAAATTGCTCTGCCTAAGCTATTTTAGTTCTGACTACAGTTACTACCCAGTGCGATAGATTTAGAGGAGTTATAAAAAGCTCAGGAAAACTGATCTTAATTTCCAATCTGAATATCACTCTATAAAAACCTATACAATGCCAAATAACCCATTTAACTGAATATTTTACTTTTAACCAGGCTTCAACCTTATTCATGTCACTCTGCCTTCTCATTTAATACTTCCCATTTACATGCTGTCTGAATTTCTTTCACCTGAGTTTTCTTGGGCTTGTGTCCACCTTCCAAGTTGGTTCTTTAGTCACAAAACCCTACTAGAAATTCATCTCAATATTCTTGGTTTTTTTTATTAGTGTTATAAAAAGTGCATTCCATGACTGAGTCCAGAAAAAAAGTCTATGAATGTTACATGATGTCAGGTTCCTGTCACCTTAAACCACACATGTTGACTCAGAGACTCGCTTATCTGCACAAGAAGAAATGTAGTCATTTGGACACACTGAGAAAGGCAGCCTAAAACATGCGTCATGACGAGTCACTTCAGCAAGTGCCAGCTCATGCAGCACACCTGCCTATGCTCCGTTGTTCGCATATAGTCAGTTTGCTTATTTGCCTATTGTTTCACATGAAAAAATGTTCCTCAAGTCCCTATTCTCCATTTCTGCTTCTGGCCCTTTATTCCTGTTCATTTCTACATCAAATGATGTCACTTCCTTCTACCAGGTCCACATGTTTTCTGTATCAACTCTGATCATTACCCCAAATTATGACTTTTGTACTTACTGATTTGCTTAAAGCACCTCTTTCATGACTGTGAGATTGGCCTTTCATTTTGTACTAAGAGATTTGCACTTTTTTGAAGTGGACTGGGATCTGGACTTCTTTTGGATAGTTTTGGATGCTTTCCAGTTTTCAGATGCATTTCATTTAACTGAATGCCAAGATTGAAAGACATTAAACAATCCTACCCTAAAATCTAGGATGTATCATTCAAACATTAATAATCAAAAACAACCATGACCATAACATGACCCCAGGAGGTTACTGATTATATTCATTGTACCTGTGAATTGTACTGAACTGACACATTGAAGACTGAAATGCTCTATTTATCCACAGAACAGATACAGCCTGGGAAACGCCAATGTAATGTGCCAGTGTGCCTAAATCCTGACCTGGAGGGACAGCCACTGAGAGTGAGAGGTTGGTTGAGTTTTAGAATTTCAGACTGTAAAAGCTTGGAAACTGTATATGTCCATTATTTAGTCACCCAGCAGGTGCTGAAACACCTTGTTCAGCAGCTTCCTGAAGTGTTCCAGGGAATGGGAATGCATGATATATCCTCTTTGAACATAACAGAAAGTTCTTCCTAATAGTGATTTTCTAATTTTTTGAGACACAGGAAACAAGTCTAGTGTCTCTTACATTATTTTTTTGACATTTGAGAATAACTGAATAATAGTTGCTTATTCCTCAGGTATTTCTAAGCCAGCTATTCCTGCACCCTTCAGCATGTCTTCTAACATATATCAGTTTTCCATATCACTCCATATGTACTTTTCTGAGCATTGTCCAGCTTATCTACTTATCTTCTAGAATGCTGAGATCATAGATAAGAAGTTTCTTTTCATCTGAGACATAAAATGAAAATGTACCCTTTATGCTGCACATGGGAGCAAGCTGACCATAAATCTGTGCTAAGATAAAAAAATTATTTTTAAAACTCAGAAAACAGCACAAGACAAGGATGTCCTTTATCACCTCTCCTATTTAATATAGCACTGGAAGTACTAGCCAGAGCAATTAGACAAGAGAGAAAAATAAAAGGGGTAAAGATAGGAAAAGAAGAAGTTAAATTGTCATTGTTTGCAGATGACATGATACTCTACATAGAAGACCCCCTAAACTCCATTGAAAGACTCTTAGATATAATAAATAAATTCAGTAATGTAGCTCGATACAAAATCAATACCCAGAAATTAATAGCATTCCTATACACTAACAACAAAATCACAGAGAGAGAAATAAGAGAAACCACACTCTTCACACTAGCAAGCAAAAAAAAAAATGAAATATTTAGGAATTACTCTTATGAAAGAAGTGAAAGACCTATACAGGGAAAATTATAATACACTGAAAGAAGAAGTTGAAGATGATCTCAGAAAATGGAAAGACATCCCATGTTCATGGATAGGAAGAATAAACATTGTGAAAATGGCCATTTTCCCAAAACTGTTATACAGATTCAATGCAATCCCAATAAAAATGCTATCAACATACCTTATAGATCTAGAGAAATCACTCCTAAAATTCATCTGGAACCAGAAGAGACCTAGAATATCAAAGGCAATTCTAAGCAGCAAAGGCAAGGCAGGAGGCATCACAATTCCTGACTTGAAGTTATATTACAAACAACAATAGTAAAATCAACATGGTACTGGAATCAAAACAGAGCAGAGGATCAATGGAATAGATTAGAAGATACAACCACAACTACCAACACACTCAACCACCTTATCTTTGATAAAGGAGCCAAGCAGGTTCACTAGAAAAACAACAGTCTTTTTAATAAATGGTGTTGGAAAAACTGGCTCTCCATCTGCCAAAAATTGAAACTTGATCCAAGCCTATCACCATGTACTAAATTAAAATCTAAATGGATCAAAAATCTGAATATTAAAACAGAAACACTAAATCTATTGGAAGACAAATTGGGTAGAAACCTTGAAGACATAGGAGTAGGTAGAGAATTCATGAACAGGACTCAAACTGCATGGGAAATACTTCCCAGAATCAATAACTGGGACCACCTCTTATTAAAAAGTTTCTGTAAGTCCAAAAAAATCTCCAGTATAGTGAAAAGAAAACCCACAAACTGGAAAAGATCTTAGTAAACTCCCCCTCAGACAAGGGACTTTTGTCTAAAACATATAAAGAATTAAAAAAACTCAGACCCCCAAAATTCAAAGACCCAATCCAAAAATGGGCATCTGAGATGAATACACACTTCTCAGAGGAAGAAATACAAATGGCAAATAAATACATGAAAAAATGTTTATCATCATTGGTTATTAGGGAAATGCAAATTAAAACCACACTGAGATTCCATCTCACTCCTGAAAGAATTGCTAGGATCAAGAAAACCAACAACAATAAGTGCTGGAGAGGCTGTGGGGAAAAAGGAACTCCCCTACACTGTTGGTGGGAGTGTAGACTGGTACAACCTTTGTGGAGGTCAGTCTGGAGATTTCGTAAAAAGCTGGGATCGGAAGTCCCATTTGTTCCAGCTATTCCACTTCTAGGCATATTCCCAGAAGAACTGAAAGCATCATACCACAGTGATATATGCACACCTATGTTTATAGCAGCACAATTTGTAATTGCCAGATCTTGGAAACAACCCAAGCGTCCATCAACTGAGGAATGGATAAAAAAGCTGTGGTATTTCTATACAATGGAGTGCTACTCAGCTATAAAGAAGGATCACATTGAGGTATTTATCAATAAATGGGTGCAGCTTGAAACCATACTCATAAGTGAAATAAACCAAACTCGCATCTGTGAACACCGAATAGTTTCCCTAGTGAGGAAATGATTCAAATATATAAAAGTGTGTGGTAACCATGATTCCCCATTATGGGGCCTTGAAGCCTTATAAAGTTTTCACTCATTAATTGGAATGGCTTTATTTTGGGCTATTTGGTATTATGGCCTGTGATGCAATGAACAGCTATTTTGAAGAAAACAAGGCATCATAATAGCTAGTGCTGATTTAATACCATCTTGTTTTGAAGCCGCACCAAACTATGGCTCTTCTGTCTCCATTGATTTTATCATGTTGTATCTTGCTGGATTTTATCGTATGTGGTAGTATAAACAAAAATTGTTATAGGCAAAGAGACAATATAGAAACCATTGTTCATTTTTCTGTTAGCTGGTTCTAAATACTCTACAATGCTTTCATCCACTTGAATGGTGTTATACTGTCTTGATATGTTTGATGCTATAGCATATGAAGTTATATTCAAATATTTTAAGGAAAAAGACACTATGGTAACTACTATTAAGTCGGGTTATTTGGTGGTGAAGCACTAGGTTGCTGAAAGTGTCATGCTTTAACCTGTATTGTTATGTTATTATGCCCCCTTTTATCTCAGCCTCTCCCTTATTCATTAAAAAATTATTTAATTTTTAAAATTTCTTTTTTAAATTAAGGGGAAAAAATAAAAAAAAAACTAGCAGGATAGATTATAGTAACTTTTTTGATTTCCTATTAACTTGAAGTCCTGTAATACCCCCGTTATCTTGTTTTGACTGATTAGACTCTATTCTGCTCTGTATGAAAGTATCAAGTATCAGAGTATAGGCAACTACTTTGAAGGCAGTAAGATTCACTATGATGCCCATTTTGGTTTGACTATTATCCTCTTTTGAGGTTCTGTAAGATTTGCAATGTTTAGGTTTTATTGGTCTTGTTCTCTACTGTTTTGTTCAACTTTATAATACCTAATGAGATGGACAATTCTTCTTAAGGAAACAAGAACCATTATGGTAACCATTGTTGATAACCCTGTACTCTGTTTTTACATCATGTGCTATGTCTACCCTTGGTTTTGACCGACAGCTTTGTTTTATCATGCTTGATTTTATTCTCTTACAAAAAAAAGTAGTAAGATCTAAGGGAGCAATAAAACCCAAAATGTGTAAATTTTGTTGTAATAAAGAGAGGGAAAAAAAAGTGCCCTAAAGGATACAACAGCAAGGGTGTTTAGGTGTGTTAAATAGATGATCATATTAATATTTTTGATTGGATTACGGAACACAACTATTTGCAGTCTCACTGTTTGAATGTTCACTTTGTATGCTTTGATCCTGTGACCTGAAACACCGTTTCTAAGATGATAGCATGTAATCTATTAAATGGAGATAGCTTACTTTTTTTTGTAGTTCTGAATTACTTGTACCCTTACACTGCTTTGTTCTGCTTTTTTTTTTCCTCTTTTTCTTTTTAAATTAAAAAAAAACTCAGAAAACAAATCAATCATCATTTAAAAAACACAAAAAAGAATTATGACATCTCATAATTAATACCATAAATAAAACATCTGTATTTTTTTGAAGACCATACTACTCTTCTGGCTTTCCTAAACTATGAAGAAATATTTATCTCTGGCTTGCCTAAACACTTCTTTGGCAGTGAATAGTAGTTTTAGCTTCTGCGTTGGATGAGATATGACTCTTTTCTTTCCATGGGGCTAGGAAAGCTTTTTTTAAGTAAAAGTCTGGGTAGTGAATAAATTTTTTGTGCTTGTTTATGATCTGGTGACTCAGTAGCAGCAAGTGTTCTGAGGCAATATTAGCAAAGCTTAGCAAGTCAGTCTCCTTTATGGTAAACAGAGCAATGCACTGGTGCAGTAGGTAACTGATGGATGCGTCTGCACTTTAAGACACACTCCCACATCTTTTTTTTATTTAAAGAGAGAAGAAAAAAAAAGAAAGGACATAAAAAAAACAATGCAGTAAAAGGGTACAAATAATACAGTATTTCTAGAAAAAATATATACAGTACGAAATCACCAGTTACCAGGCTACACATTATCTTCCCAGAAACAGTTGTCCATATCACTAAATTAAAGCATATAAAATGAACATTCATTCAGTGGAATTGGAGACAGTTCCGTTCAATGATCCAACAAAAGCTCAGTTATATGGTTTTCCATCCTACACTCTCGAACATACCTGCGGTTATATCCCTTAGTCCACCTTATTTTCCTCTCTTTTTTACAGTGACAATTAGACTTTTAGGGTTTTATTACTGTCATGGTTCTTATTACTTTTTTGAAGAGAATAAAAACAAATGTGACTAAGCAAAACAGAGTCTGTTAGAACAGAAGGGTGGGCATAGCACGTGATGCAAAAATAGAATACCAGGTGATCAAAAGTGGTTACCGTTGTGCCTCTTGCTATTTTCAAACTGAGTTGTCTACATCATCAGGTATAATAGAATTGATCAAAACAATACGGAACAAAACCAATAAAATCTACACTGAGGACCTTACAGGACTTCAAAAAAAAAAAAGATGATAGTCAATCCATATTGGGCATCATAGTATATCTTATTACCTTCAAAGTGATTGCCAATACCTTCAAACTTGATACTATCAAACAAAATAGAATATATAATAATCAGACAGAACAAGATGGGGAGAGCAATACTGGGGTTCAAGTCAGGTTAATAGGACAACAAAAAAGTTACTATAATATGTCCCGTTATTCTTTAATTTAGTTTTCCCTTAATTAAAAAAATGAGAGAAAATAGATTAATTTTAAAATAGGGGGAATATTGAGATAAGAGAGGATATTGTAATAGAACAATGCAGGGCAGAACCGAGCAATTCAAGCATCGTTGTGTTTCACCACCAGATAATCTAACATAGTAGTAGTCACCATAGTGCCTCTTTCCTTAAATTATTTGAGTGTAACTTCGCGTGCTATAATATCAAGCGTATCTAGACAGCGTGAAGCCTTTCAAGAGAATGTAAGAATTACAGGGTATTTAGAACCTGCTAATAGAAAACAAACAGTGGTTTCTATATTATCTCTTTGCCTATAAAGAGTTTTGTTTATACTATAGCATATAGTAAAATATAGTAAGATACAACACGTTAAAACCAGTGGAAACAGATGTACTACAGCTTGATGGGACTTTAAAACAAGACGATATTAAATCAGCACTAGCTTTTATGTTGTGTTGCTTTCTTTAAAACAGCTATTCGTGCTATCATAGATACTAAAATCGAACAACCCAAGTTAAAACCATTGCGGTTAATGAGTGAAAAAATTATATGGCTTCAAACCAATATGATTGGGAATCATGATTACCACATACTTCTATGTATTCTTATCATTTCTTACACAGGGGCAAGTATTCGGTATTTATACATGTGAGTTTGATTTATTTCACTTATGAGTATGGTCTTAAGCTGCGTCCATTTATTTATAAATGTCTCAATGCGGTCATTCTTTATAGCTGAGTAGTACTCCATTGTATAAAAATACCACAACTTTTTTATCCATTCTTCAGTTGATGGACCCTTAGGTTGTTTCCAAGATCTGGGTATTACAAATTGTGCTGCTATAAACATGGGTACACATATATCGCTGTGGTATGATGCTTTCAGTTCTTCTGGGAATATGCCTACACACACTCCCACATTTTACAGTATGTTCTGTCTCTAAGAGTCCCAAAGGGACTAAGATAAAAAATTTAGTTTTAAAACTCAGAAAAAACAAATCAATCACCTTAAGCTTCAAAGTTGGGTTTTTGAGGTGGTCCCATCCTTATTCAAATTTCTTAGTACCCTCTGTTTCTGCTTCTAATTCCGTACAGAGGGCACTCTGGATACTCAGTAGAGGAACCAGCAGAACTCATGTCAGAGGTGCTGGCAGTCACTGGGTGATAATAAGAGCTTCCTTTAACTCTGCAGACTTAGTTTCAACTCAGCCACAGCAATAGATAGCGAAGGTCTAGCTTCCTTTTTTACATTTCCCACCTTGTACATTACTCTTTGTTCTCACTTCAGTCGCAGAACTCAGGAGGAATCCTCTGATTCAGCTAATGTGGCCCTATAATATGCCCAGTAAGTTAATGTATATGCCTCTACAGATGACTGTGACAAATATTTTATCAGACATTCTGTGCTAGTCTATGGAAAAAATAATGACACAATGTTACTGTCAAAAATATTCCTTTGATAATGATTGTTTTAAAACCAAAATATCACTGAGTCTTTCTCTTCTATTTTAGTTGTGTTTACTATAATAGCAATAATTTGCAATAGTCTTCTGAGAGCCTTATCCCAGAGTTGTTTTTGAAATTGCTTTCTTATGTTTCTACTGAGACTGTATGTGCCTTACCGTGTACCTTACAGGGTGAAATTTTCTACTTTTAGAGGCATTTTGGCATCTGATTGACATAGTCTTTCAGTGATCCAGAAATGTGGAGTATTGTATTTGAATTTGCTGTGCTTTGGTTTCTTTAAGTAACTTCATGTCTTCTATCTTGGTTTAATTCTTACCTTTTCTACTGTTAGCCAAGTTATACTTAGGCTTGCAATACTCAAAGCAATATCTTTATGAAAGAATTAGAGACCTTGGTTAATTACATACCTGGGTACACTTAGACAAGAATGTTATCTCGAAGATAGTAAAAAAATATAGTAATGAAACTTTCATTTAATTGGAGTTTAGGAAGAGACATAGAGATGTTTTCTGATAATTTTCCTTGTGTTTGCATTTGCAGATTTATTTTTCAAAAATACATTTTGTTATCTTTATTTAGGCAAAGGGATTTATAGTATGGAAGTATCTTAATTTTTTGAAAAATTTAATAACCATTTTCCCCCTAAGTTTGAGAGATGTTGCCCATGTAGCTAGGTTTCTAAAAAAATTAATTTGATTCCTTCAAAAATGAATTCTATGAATCATCATTCTCCTAGTTAAGAAGAGAATATAGTTTTTTAAAGCACTTTAATGAGAAACAGATTATTTAACTACTTTTTTTCTTGTTTGAAGAATTCGGTCTTAGTTACTATTTTGTAGAACGGGACACTATTCTGCATTGTTGCTTTTCTGCATTCTTCTCATATGCCTCATCTGCAAAGTTCCCAGAGAATCTGTCCAGCATGGATGGATTTTTTAATGGTGAATACTCTTCCAACTCTCCACATACACTCATCACCAGGGGATGTTTCTAAAATTCCTGCCTCAGACTTCTTCGATAGCATCAAAACATAAAGTTTGAAACACTGTTGTACTGATAAGCTGAAGTGGAGTGAGCCATGAAATAGTATCTTCATAACACTTGATGTTTCATTTATAAATACTTCAGTTGGAAAGGTGAAGTCTTTTTGCTTTGGCGTATATGATAATTCCCCAAAATGAAAACTGCACAAATATTTCTTAACTTAAATGTCTCCCTTTGTTATCTATATGAAGTTCTGTGGTCTTATTTCCTTCCCAAATTAGCAACATTAGAAACATCCATGCTTTTAGAATTGCAGTATAGGTGGGTAGCTTCCACATATGCCTAGAAAATAAGGGTGTAATAGACATTAGGGATACCTTAAACTAGATTACTCCTGTGATTGTCACCTTTGTCCTAGTGACCTGTTGGCGCATCTGAACTGTTTCTGATTTTTCAATGTCAGTGAGCAATTGAGAAGTGGGTATTTTGCTCTTAAAATCACAGAAGCAGAAACCAATAATTTCTTGACTTCATTTTACCATTGAGGTTTTTTCACAGTGCAGTTGTGATATTTAAATCATGATCCTGTGACTATGATCTCTGGAAGGTTTATAAGGGCAGAATTTACCAGTTGTCTCTTTACCCAGGTGCCACTAAATCCAGCCTGCTGTCAGCTCCCAGCATAGTGAGTATGTTTGTGCCTGCACCCGAAGAATTTACTGATGAACAGCCAACAGTGATGACGGACAAGTAAGCTCACATGGTTATTTTTATCACCATGTTACAGGGTTAGAATTTGGTCAGCAAGGCTGTGAGGATGTATCAGAGAAAGTATGCCTAGCGTTTAAATCATAATTTGTTCTTCAAAAAACTATAGCTGTAAGTGTTGATAGGCATTTATGATTTTAGGAATGCTGTATTATATATCCCTCTGGCAGTTGACTCAGCACTGCAGTCTCTGGCCTACTGTTAGAGAGGGCTGACTGACTTCCTTTTGGGGACTTTTTCAAGACTCGTAGTTGCGTTATATCTTGAAATCATGATTGGCTTTTACAGAATGCACTCCTCTCTTTTCTTTGCAGATGCCATGACTGTGGAGCTATTCTTGAAGAATATGATGAAGAAACGCTTGGACTGGCCATTGTGGTACTTTCCACATTCATTCATTTGAGCCCTGACTTAGCAGCTCCACTGTTGCTGGATATAATGCAGTCTGTGGGAAGGTAAGTGTCAGCTTTTGTTTTGTTTTGGTAGGAAACAGTCTTACTTAAATGAAAACAAGCAGTTCAAAAGTAAGTCCATCCCATTGTGGAGGCTTTTGGTCTGTGCAGTCAATTCAGACCTTAATTTTAAAAACTGAGTGGATTGATTTTTTGATTGAATTCCCCAGCTGCATAGGGTCCTGTGTCTCACATCAGAGTAAAGTTAGAGGATGCTGAACTGAGAATACTCTACTGTTTGTTCAGGTCATTGTTCTCTATTATGGTATGAGCATTAAGACCTGCCTCCTGCCTTCAAGTAATCTATGGTTTAGTTGTTGAAAGTGATGCTGTGTGTGAAATCAGTAAGTGCTCATAGAGGGTAGGGCACGACTGAGTGCTGAAATGAGTGTGCAACAGAAGTTCAGGATGGAAAAGATCTCTTACAGGTGTTCTATATGGAAGGCAGTAGGACAAGAACTAGATTCTGCAAATTCCTGCCATTTGAGGGAGGGAAATAGAACAAATCCTAATGGAGCTAAAATATAACTCAAAAATAGAAATGCTGACTTCAAGTGAAGAGCAAAACAGTAAAACTGTGATGTGAGACACAGGACCCTATTCCACTTCCAAACTTAAAAATAGCCAATATGCAAAGTAAATGATGAATATAGGAATGTGGACAGACAAGAAAGATGAATTAGTTCATTTAAGCCCTTGATTTTGAATAATCTTAGTAATGGTAAACAAATGTATTGGCTGTCAGCAGTATTTGCAGAGTTAAGGGCTTTTATGAATGCAGGTTCACAATTCCCCCATCACTATTTTGTTGTTGACTTCATTATCATTTTCTTAAGTTAAAATAGATAATAGATTAGTCAACTTTCCTGTTAATGGGCATATTATTCAAACCCACAATTTAAAGAAGGGGAGTTTAATCATAGTTGATGTGATACAGTCCATGGTTGGCTGGCTCCCAGATAGAAGCATCCTGGTAGAAGAGTGTGCTGGAGGACAGTTGCTCACTGCATGGCAGCCAAGAAGCAGAGAGAGAAAAGAGGAGCTGGAGAGGGAGATACGCCCTCCAAAACTCCCACCAAGTGGCATACTTCTTCCAACCAGCCCTACCTCCTAACAGCACTTGTAGCTATGGGCTCCTTAGTGAATTGATCCACTGCTGAGTACAGCACTGCCAGGATCCAATCACCTTCCACAAGGTTCAGCAGAACACACGACTTGGGGAGAACATTCCAGATTTAAACCATAAGAGATATAGAGAGGGAATTGTTTTTGTTTTTTGTTTGTTTTAATGCAAACATGAATAATCCATGTTAAAGCATTGGCAAAGGTTAGGATGAAAACACATGAGCTTTGAAGAAAAGCAAGGAAAATCAGTAACAGATGTGCTTTTGCATATTTACATATACCTATATTTAAATATTCATTGTCTTTGGGTAGGCTAGCTAGAGATGGGGAAAGCATTTAACGTACATTGCCATGATTCTTAGCAACCTTAATTACCAAAGCTGCCAAGAACACAGATCCAGCAGTCCCTTAATTCAGGGCTCCCTCATGCCTCGATTACACTGTGAAAACAGACAAGGTTATGCGGATTTATAACTTGATTAATTTATGCTAGTTACAACCACAGACACTATTCTCAGTGTGTTGTAAGAGTCTGTAAATACGATAGGTCTGCAGAGGACGAGCTGGGCAGATCTGGGGTGCCCTCACTGGCCTCTCTGCGTGTCTGGAGGACTCTGGATATCTGCGCCCAGACTGCTGGAGTTCCCTCAGGCTTCCAGGTGCAGTGAAGGAGAGAGGTGGGTTTGAGGCTTCCACATCAGCCTCCCCATTCCCGGCTTCATTTGGAGACATGCTGAGCTCCCGATAGATGGGCTGGCCCACACTACCAGCCTAGCCCAGCCTGTTTAGCTGCCGCGCCTGGCCATAGGTCTGCAGAGGAGGAGCTGGGCAGATTTGGGGTGCCTGCATCGGCCTCTCCATGTGTCTGGAGGACTGTGGATATCTCTGCAACCAGGGAGGGTCCACAGGTTCCTGAAGCACTGCGGCCTGTGGTGAGTACCCTAACCTGGCTGCGATTGAAGAACTGTGGAGCTTCCAAGGGGCAGGTGGGCGCACAGTGTCCCTGAGGCCCAGCTTATCTGGAACTGCGGAGTTCTGAGCAGGCAGAGGAGGGCCACTGGTTCTGTAGGCCTAATGGCTTGGGGTAGCGCGGCGCCAGAGTCTCAGTAGCTCCAAACATAGAAGGGGATTTTCAACAGATCCTGAGGAAGCTTTCAAATAACACTTGAAACACAGAAATATAGGAAAATGACAAAACGAAAGACCAAATTACAACCTCAAACCTCCAGCCCATCTCAAGAAACCCTAGGAGCGATGTATATAGAAGAAAATATATCCCATCCACCTCATATATCGGACACAATAGCCACTGAAATTGACAAGCAACTCCAGGAAGCTTTAAAGAAATTCAAACTCGAAATAATCTCCCAGATAAAAAAAGAAATGATAAAAGAAATGAAAGAGATTCTAAATATATCTAAAGAAAACACAGATAAAAATTGGAGGAACTAAACAAAAAGATAGAATCCCTAGACGAGCAATATAAGAAACAAACAAAATACATAATGCAGATGCACAGAGATATACAGGAAATAAAAAACTCCACTGAAAGTTGTAAAAACCGCCTTAATGAAAGTGAAGATAGAATTTCAGACCTTGAAGACAGGATTGCAGCTAGTGAACAGGAAAGGAAAGATCTTTTGAAAATAACAAGGAACCAGGAAACAACAATTCAACAACTGCAAGACGATGCAAAGAAGAATAACATAAGAATGATAGGGATTAATGAAAGAGAGGGAGACAACATGAAGGATGTCAGGAGGATATTTAGAGAAGTAATAGCTGAAAATTTCCCAAGCATGAGATCAGAAACTGACATCAGGATCAGTGAAGCATATAGAACTCCAAACAGTCATAACCAAAATAAAACTACACCCAGACATATAATAATCACCATCCCAGAAATCCAACACAAGAATAGATTATTAAAAGCTGTCAGAGAGAAAAGACAAATCACTTATAAAGGAAAACCTATCAGAATCACAGCAGACTTCTCAGCACAAACGATAAAGTCAAGAAGAGCATGGAGTGAAGTATTCCGGATCCTAAAGCAAAATGATTTCCAACCAAGACTGATATATCCTGCAAAACTATCATTCAAAATAGATGGTGCAATACGATACTTCCATGACAAAGAACAGCTGAAGAACTTCATGAACACCAAACCAACCCTGCAAAAAATATTGAAAGACAGTTTAGATACACAAAGGAAAAAAGCACTAAGCAAAGCAAATAATTAAACAGAACAGAAAGATAAAGATGCAACAGCAGAGAGATAACATTCCTACAATTAACCAGCATTTAACAGTAATAACCATTAATGTAAATGGTCTCAATGCACCAATCAAAAGAAACAGACTAGCAGAATGGATCAAGAAACAAAATCCAACCATATGCTGTTTACAGGAAACCCATCTAACCCAGAAAGATACTCACAGACTGAAAGTCAAAGGATGGAAAACAATTCTTCATGCAGCAGGAATCCAAAAAAAGGCAGGAGTAGCCATTCTGTTTGCAGACAACGTGAACTTTAAACCAACAATGACCATAAAGGACAAAGAAGGTCACTACATACTCGTAAGGGGAAAACTCCAAGAGGAAGAGATAACTATCTTAAATATATACGCACCAAACTCCAGAGCACCCAGTTATATAAAACAATTATTAACAGAAATGAAAACTCAAATTATCAGTAACACAATTGTAACAGGAGACCTTAATACACCACTGACACCAAGGGACAGATCAACCAGACAGAAAATGAGCAAAGAAATAACAGAACTGAATCACACCTGTGAACAAATGGGTTTGATAGACATATACAGAATGTTCCACCCAACAACATCAGAATACACATTCTTCTCAGCAGTACATGGATCATTTTCTAAAATAGACCATATATTAGCTCACAGAACATATTTAAGCAAATGCAAAAGAGTTGAAATCATCCCTTGCATATTATCGGATCATAGCACTCTGAAATTAGAAATTAATGACAAAGGATACTGCAAAAATTCCGCAAACACATGGAAACTAAATAACACACTCTTGAGTAATCAGTGGGTCACAGAAGAAATTAAAGAAGAAATTAAACAATACCTAAAAGAAAATGAAAATGCAGACACAACTTACTGGAATCTGTGGGATGCAATGAAAGCCGTTCTGAGAGGAAAATTTATTGCACTGAGTTCCCACATCAGGAAAACAGAACGAATACAAATAAATAACTTGATGCTACACCTCAAACAGCTAGAAAAAGAAGAGCAAGTCAAGCCCAAAGCCAAAAGAAGAGAGGAAATTATAAAAATCAGAGCAGAAATCAATGCAATAGAGACTAAGAAAACAATCCAAAGAATCAACGAATCAAAGAGTTGGTTCTTTGAAAGAATAAATAAAATCGATAAGCCCCTAGCCAAGCTTATTAAAAAAAGGAAAGAAAAAGCTCAAATTCATGCAATAAGAAATGAAAAAGGAGAAATCACTGCAGACCCAATAGAAATACAGAGGATCATCAACACCTATTTCGAAAACCTCTACTCTCAAAAGTTTGATAACACAGAAGAAATAGACAGATTCTTAGAAGCATATGAAGTACCAAAGCTAGATCAAGAGGATATAAAACTGTTGAATAACCCAATCTCTGCTAATGAAATTGAGAATGTAATTGGGTCCTTGCCCACCAAGAAGAGCCCAGGCCCAGATGGATTCACTGTAGAATTCTACAAGAAATATAAAGAAGACCTAATGCCGACACTCCTCAAACTATTCAATGAAATTAAAAGGGAAGCAATCCTTCCTAAGTCATTCCTGGAAGCAAATATTACTCTAGTACCAAAACCTGAGAAAGACCCAACTATAAAAGAGAACTATAGACCGATCTCCCTAATGAACACAGATGCAAAAATCCTCAATAAAATATTGGCAAATAGGATCCAGCAAATCATCAAGAAGATTATACACCATGACCAAGTGGGATTCATCCCAGGAATGCAAGGATGGTTCAACATACGCAAATCAATAAATGTAATCCACCATATCAATAAAGCCAAAAATAAGAATCACATGATCATCTCTATAGATGCAGAAAAAGCCTTCAATAAGGTCCAACACTTATTCATGATAAGAACTTTACAGAAAATTGGAATAAATGGTCTTTACCTCAATATAATAAAGGCCATTTATGACAAACCAACAGCCAGCATCATACTAAATGGCCAAAAATTGAAAGCCTTTACTTTAAAATCGGGTATAAGACAAGGATGTCCTTTATCACCACTCCTATTTAATATAGCACTGGAAGTACTAGCCAGAGCAATTAGACAAGAGAGAAAAATAAAAGGGGTAAAGATAGGAAAAGAAGAAGTTAAATTGTCATTGTTTGCAGATGACATGACACTCTACATAGAAGACCCCCTAAACTCCATTGAAATACTCTTAGATACAATAAATAAATTCAGTAATGTGGCTGGATACAAAATCAATACTCAGAAATCAATAGCATTCCTATACACAAACAACAAAATTACAGAGAGGGAAATAAGAGAAACTGGACTATTCACATTAGCAAGCAAAAAAATGAAATATTTAGGAATTACTCTTACAAAAGAAGTGAAAGACTTATACAGTGAAAATTATAATACACTGAAAAAGGAAATTGAAGATGATCTCAGAAAATGGAAAGACATCCCTTGCTTATGGATAGGAAGAACAAACATTGTGAAAATGGCCATTCTCCCAAAACTGTTATACAGATTCAATGCAATCCCAATAGAAATACCATCAACATACCTTATAGATCTAGAGAAATCACTCCTAAATTTCATCTGGAACCAGAAGAGACCTAGAATATCAAAGGCAATTCTAAGCAGCAAAGACAAAGCAGGAGGCATCACAATCCCTGACTTGAAGTTATACTACAAAGCAACAGTAGTAAAATCAACATGGTATTGGAATCAAAACAGAGCTGAAGATCAGTGGAATAGATTAGAAGATACAACCACAACTACGAACACACTCAACCACCTTATTTTTGATAAAGGAGCCAAGCAGGTTCACTGGAAGAACGACAGTCTCTTTAATAAATGGTGCTGGAAAAACTGGCTCTCCATTTGCCGAAAACTAAAGCTAGACCCATGTCTATTACCATGTACTAAATTAAAATCTAAATGGGTCAAAGATCTGAATATTAAAACAGAAACACTAAATCTATTGGAAGACAAAATAGGTAGAAACCTTGGAGAAATAGGAGTAGGTAAAGAATTCAGGAACAGGACTCAAACCGCACGGGAAATATTTCCCAGAATCAATAACTGGGACCACTTCTTATTAAAAAGTTTCTGCATGTCAAAAGAAATCTCCAGCATAGTGAAAAGAAAACCCACAAACTGGGAAAAGATTTTAGTGAACTCTCTCTCAGACAAGGGCCTCTTGTCTAAAACATATAAAGAATTAAAGAAACTCAGACCTCCGAAATTCAAAGATCCAATCCAAAAATGGGCATCTGAGATGAATATGCAATTCTCAGATGAAGAAATGCAAATGGCAAATAAATACATGAAAAAATGCTCATCATCATTGGTCATTAGAGAAATGCAAATTAAAACCACACTGAGATACCATCTCACTCCTGAAAGAATGGCCAGGATCAAGAAAACCGACAACAAATGCTGGAGAGGCTGTGGGGAAAAAGGAACTCTCCTGCACTGCTGGTGGGAGTGTAGACTGGTACAGCCTTTGTGGAGATCTGTCTGGAGATTTCTCAAAAAGTTGGGACTGGAAATCCCATTTATTCCAGCTATTCCACTTCTAGGCATATTCCCAGAAGAACTGAAAGCATCATACCACAGTGATATATGTGCACCTATGTTTATAGCAGCACAATTTGTAATCGCCAGATCTTGGAAACAACCCAAGTGCCCATCAACTGAGGAATGGATAAAAAAGTTGTGGTGTTTCTATACAATGGAGTATTATTCAGCTATAAAGAAGGATCACATTGAGATATTTATCAATAAATGGGCGCAGCTTGAGACCATACTCATTAGTGAAATAAATCAATCTCGCATGTGTGAATACCCAATAGTTTCCCTAATGTAAATAATGATTCAAATATATAAAAATATGTGGTAATCATGATTCCACATTAGGTGGCCTTGAAGCCTTATAAAGTTTTCACTCATTAATTAGAAAGGCTTTATTCTGGGCTTCTTGATATGAAAATATTTGAAGCTAGAGTATATGAAGTTTTATCCAAATATTTCAAGGAAAAAGACACTATGGTAACTACTATTAAGTCAGGTTATAAGGTGGTGAAGTACTAGGTTGTTGAAACAGTCATGCTGTGACCTCTATTGTTATATTGTTATGTCCTGTTTTATCTCAATCTCCCCCTTATTGTTTCAAAAAAAATTATTTAGTCATTTCTTATGTTTGTCTTAATTAAAGAAAAAATTCAAAAAAATTAGGATATATAAATAGTAACTCTTTTCGATTTCCTATTAACTTGTTTTGAAGTCCTGTAGTACTCCCACGATCTTGTTTTGACTGATTAGACTCTGTTCCATTCTATATGATAGTATCAAGTTTGAAGACATAGGCAACTACTTTGAAGACAATAAGATTCACTAAGATACTCATTCTGGTTTGACTATTGTCTTCTTTGGAAGTCCTGTAATGTTTACAATGCCTAAGTTTTATTGGTCTTGTTCTCTACTGTTTTGTCCAACTTTATAATATCTAATAAGATAGACAATTCTTTTTAAGGAAACAAGGGACAACGTTGATAACCGTTGTTGATAAACTTGTACTCTGTTCTACACTATGTGCTATGTCTATCCTTGGTATTGACTGACAGCTTTGTTTTGCCATATTTGACTGTATTCTCCCCCCCCCCAAAGAAAGTAATAAGCACTAAGGAGTAATAAAATCCAAGATGTGTAAATTTTGTTGTAAAAAAGAGAGGGAAAAAAAAAAAAGAAAAAGAGCTCTAACGGATATAACAGCAAGTGTGTTTGGGGGTGTTAAATAGCTGACTTTATCAATGTTTTTGGAACATTGAACACAGCTGTTTGCAGTCTCCCTGTTTGAATGTCCACCTTGTGTTCTTTGATACTGTGATTTGAGGAACTATTTTCAAGAAGATAGTGTGTAATCTACTAGCAGGTGATTTCTTACTGTTATGTTTTTTTGTTTTGTTTTGTTTTGTTTTTGTAGTTCTGTATTGAGTGTACCCTTACGCCGCTTTGGTTTGTTTTGTGTTTTTCTCTTTTTCCTCTTTAAAAAAAAAAAAAAAGAGTCTGTAAATGCTTTCCTTTATCACTCAAGTTTCTCCATGTGATTCCATATTTAGTTCTCTACTTGGAACCCTCTTAAAGTCTATCTCATATTCTAGGTAAACCCTTTAAAATAATATTTCCCATACCCCTTAACGACTGTTTAGTTCTTTTGCCAATGTTTATTTATTCATTGTAAAGCAGCTGCATAAGATAGCCCATGATCAAAGTAACTGGAAATGATATCCAGTGTCAGTGGTTGTGGGAGTGGCTGTTCCTTTCCAAAGAGTTAGTGGCTCAGCTGACTCTTGTAGTCATATTAACGTATGTGAAATTGTAGTATTCACCTTGATTTCTTCAGTGTCTTACTGATTAAGGTATATTCTTCTAAACACAGCAGTTCTGTATTTTCTGTTTTTATATAACAGCCTATGGAACAATTCCATGCATACAGAGACATATATTTCAAAATCATATGTTATATATTGATTATTTAATATAATATACTATATTTCCCTTCTTAATGTAACAGCTTTTTATTCTCATCATTTCAGTTCAACAGCTAGCTGACAAATATCTTTGCTATTATTTTACTATCTTATAGAGATTTTATAATTTGTGATTTGTAGATTTGTGATTTAGAGGCTAGAGAGAAAGAAATGAATTTGAGCTGCATTAGTACAGGGATGGACCAGGTGATTCTGGCATCTAACTAATCTGGTTATGAAGGCCATTTTGGCTGGGTGACAGAAAACCAATTTTAACTGCTCACCACTGATGGAAATAGCTGACTCGACATAGGAGGCAAGGTTCTAAATGTAAACAGAACATTTCCTGATCAAAGGAATTGTCTAGAGTTATACATGTCACCCATCTAAGCGTGAACCACAACAAATCCTACCTCAATACTAATAAAAACCTAAGATATTCATGTGACTTCCTTTCTTATTTCCTAGATTGGCATCCAGCACTACCTTTTCTAATCAAGCAGAAAGGTAAGGTCCTTCATTTTTTAAAACCTCCTGTGCATGTTTATCTCATTTCTAAAATACTGGTGTATATTCAATGGAAGGACTATAGTTGGTTCCAGTTGTAACTCCAGAGAGCATTAGTTATGTGATTTGCATTTATGGCTTCATTTATTCATGCATTCATTTTATTCAACTAATACTTTTAAGCTCACCTTGTACAAGATACTTAGGAACAGACTGATATGATTCCTACCCATATAAGGCTTGAGCTCCACTTGGGAGACAAACATGGAATATTCACACAAATTTTTAATTGTAAATTGTGTTAAATGCTATGAAGAAAAATGATAGAGAGATTTATATAACATTAACTCATTCAACAAGTATTCATGATTACTTGGATACTGAGGATATAGTGGTTGAAAAGGTAAATCCTGGCTTTCATGAAGCTTATATCTCAGTTGAGGAGGGAGATCAAGCAAATTACCCAATAAGAAAATCAACAATATAATTTAATAACATTTAGTGCTAAGTAATGTGAAAATTATTCAACTTCAGGTGGTAGAGAGGGATGGGAGGTGATATTTTACAAAGACAGCCTCTCTGAGGAAGTGATAATTGAACAAAACCTGAATGAAGTGAGAGAATAAGTTGTGCAGCAATTTATGGAAAAAACAATCCAGGCAGAGGGAACAGAAAAGTCAAAGGCTTTAAGTCATGAAAATGCATGGTGTGTTCGGTGAACAGACCAATGTGCCTTTTCAATATAATAGATATTGTGAGACAGAAAAATATTATTCAAAAGGAAAGAAGAACTAGGGTGGAAACAGAGAAAAAGAAAGGAAGGGAAGAAGGAAAAATAGATTAAAGAAAAAGATAAAATGGAAACAAAATTTGTAAATAAGGAGGGGAAGATGGATTGAAAAGAGGAGAAGGGGATAGGATTGTGAGAAAATAGAGAAATCAAAATATATCCTATACATGTACAAATGCCCTACGATGAATATGATCATTATCTATATCTAAAATGTACCAATAAATTTAATTATAAAAAAATAAGGCTCAGGAAACGAGGTAGACAAGATAGGGAAGAGCCAGGCCAAGTAGAGACCTACAGATTATTATAAGAAGTTCCCTCTTACTGAATGAAGCACGTCCTTACCCTAAGATTTGAAAGGATTATTCTCCAGTAAAAATCAAAATCAAAACTCCAATGGTGGTTGTCAGTGGTTGGGTTGGGAGATCAAGAATTACTTAATGAGCATAAAATTTCAGTTAAATAGCTACAGAACACTGAACCTGTAGTCAGCAATAATATATGGTATACTTCAAGTCTTAAGAAACTAGATTTCATGTGGCATTCTTACAAGAATAAAATTTAAAATGTTTAAAATGAAAACTTAAAAACAAAAGAGAGAATCACTTTGACACATGTACTAAAATAGGGTGAGAGGGGAAGCAGAGAAACCTGTTTGGAAATCCTACAAGTAAGAGATAGTGGTCGCTTGCTTTCTGGTGATAAGTTGTCACATTAAAGATGTGTGTAGGAATACTTTGAAAGTAGAGCCAACAGAATTTGATGATAGATGGGATTTTAGGTGCAGATTTTAGGAAAAGAGGCAAGAAAGGCAACTTTCCCAGGTTTGGGGTAAATGTACTGAATTTCCTCATTTGTAAAAGAAGGACACTAACCTATGCCCTTCTTGTGCCATAGTGTCATCTTCTGGCACTCCCATTACGTGCCACTTGCTGAGTCAGGCAAATCTAAGTGAGCCTTGATGTCATGAGTAAGTGTAACTCACTAAAGCTAAATTTACTAGGCACTCTAGTCAGAGTAGTGGTAAAGCAAAAGGAGAAGGACGGAAACGCTTCCCTTAAGAAGTGACATTTAACTAGGATCTGAAAGAAATGAGTTGAATTTAACTGCATATAGTTACGGAAAGAGCCTGGGTAAGGCTCCTAAGATAGTAAAAAAAAAAGCATGTAGAAATAGCTATGAGAAAAGGCCTGTGTGGCTGTGGTGCAGAAATGCAAGCTTTTGTTGAGATTGGCTTGCCAGGTTGTGCTCAGCTTACAAATACCAAATATTTTGGGCTTGATTATAGAAGCAGTTGGAAGGCACTGAAGGATATTTAAGGAGGGAGGTGTGTGTGTGTGTGTGTGTGTGTGTGTGTGTGTAGCATGCAGTAAGGTTACTCGGGCAACATATGTGATAGGATGAGAGAACTAGAGGACGGAATAGATGCTGTGTATGACGTTGAGTACACTGATCTCTTTCTGCCTTAGTTTTCTCAACAGTAAAAGGGGGATTCTGACACCTGCCCCTCTTGTACCTCTTGTGCCACAGGGATATTTGCTGTGAGATCCATGTGACAGCATTTATGTGAAGTGTAACTGTAGCAGGTCCTACAAACATAAGATGGCATTGTTTTTAGTATTGTGTATCAACAACTGAAGGTTTTAGACAGCTTTGCTTTCTTTCTTCTGTTCTATTTGGGCATAGAATTTTTAAAAGATTTTTCCTCTTAACATTTTGAAGTATCATAAAATTTTTTAAAGTATACAGTAAAAGTGAAGGAATTTTACCATGAACTCATATACCTATCACGTACTTTCCACAAGGAGCGTTTTACTTGTTTTCTCACATATCTGTCTGTCCGTACATCCATTTTGTTGGATTAATTTCAAAGTAAATTTCAGACTTAGTATATTTTTCCTGCTATATACTTCAGAAAGTTGGCATTAAGTTCAATTCTTTTTTTATTTTAAAGAGGGTAAAACTAAACACAACAAAACAGAGCAAAATAGAACATAAGAAAGCAATGTAAGAGACATAAATTTCAAAGCAAGACAATTAGAGATCTTCACTATCTATTGTATTGTCTCATTTTTTTCCAAATAGTTGTCCTTATCTTCACATAGAATGAATTCATACAAAACAACATAGTATAAAACTGATCCAGACAGCATGATGAAGGCATTTTAGGTCTTCAAGACCAGACAATAGGGAAGTCAACAATGGCTGTCATAGTGTCTCTCATTTTCTTCAAAATAGCTGTCCATAACTTCATGTATGTTGAAATTAAACAAAACAAAACAGACTAAAATCACTCTGAACAAAGAATAATAGTATTGCTGGATTTCACATCATGACACTATGGAATCAGCACTGGGTACTGTGGTGTCTCTTTTTCTTCAAAGTAGTTGTTCATTTCATCATGCGTTATACAATCAGTTCTCATAAACTGTTTATAAGTTCTACACATGCATGAGTCTCTACATGTATATCTATCCTTTCTGTATTAGAGGGAAAAAAAACAAAGCAAGACAAAACAAAAAAAAAATTCCTAGAAAAACATGAAATGAAAAAGTCATAAAACCACAATACAAGGTGATCTACAATAGTTACTATGGTGTCTCTTGTTATCTTCAATAGAACTATCTATATCATCAGGCATAGTATAATTGAATATAGCAGTATATAACAATATTAATAAAAGCAAAACATTGTAGCTGGGGATTTAGCTTAGCGGCATAAGCACTTGCCTTGCAAGCAGGCGGTCATGAGTTCGATCCCCAGTACTGATTTAAAAAAAAAAAAAAAAACAAAACAAAAAACAAAACATTGTAGACATTGTAAGACTTCAAAAACAGGTAATAATAAAACCAGAGTGGGTGTCTAGTAAATCTTGTAATCTTCAGTATATTTGCCTATACTCTCAGACTTGATACTATCAATCATAACAGATTTGAATAAAATCAGTCAATACAAAACAGCAATCTAACAAACCAGATTCAAATAAGATCAGTCATGATAAGACAGTGTAAATTATATAGGGCTTCAGATTAAGTTAGTAGGAAATTAAGGATGATTACCATACTATATCCTGCTATTTCCGGGATAGGTGTCTGCCCTCAAATCTAGTACAAGTAGACAGACTGGAACAGAATATAATCCATCTAAACAGAGCAGAGAGAGTAATGTGGGTTTTAAGTCCTGATACATTATTAACAATATCCTCTGCCTTCTTTTTTTAGACTATTCCTACCCTTTCACTCCTACAGGGTGCACTGTGCATTTTGTGTCCTACCAACTCCCTCAGTTTTTAGATTGAGGGGGCAACCTGATATTTACCAAAGTGGTTCCAAATTTTCTCACTCCTGGACTTGACCCCAAGTTGTATTCTTTTACTTACAAAAGCCTCAAGGTTTTCCTTCATTATAGCTGAGTTGTTCTGTACTGCACAAAAGTATCATGTCTTTCCAACCTATCTGCAGGTGCTGGTCGAGTAGCCCCTATTTCTCTCTGGTTCCTTGTCACATAGAGGATTGCTTTCTCATATTTGATTTTTGGTCCATAAGCCCTCTTTCAGGTTAATTGTATTTCCTATACAGAACGTCTTGATGGACCCTACTTCCTGAACCACTCTGCCTGTGTTTCTTCTTTTTAGTGTTTCAAGGCCATCTGTGTTAAAGTTTATAGCCAATCTTCTCTGCCTCATCTCTGTTATGCTATTTTTATGCCATTGGTTGTCTACTTGTCTGCTTCATTCCGCTGTCTGCCCCATTCATTGAGGCCTCTCTGCCACTGTTCCCAAAATCCTGTGTTTTTTTCTGTCTCTCTAAAATGTCTAGAATATCCTTCAATGTAGGGTGGGATTGGTGGCCACAAAATCCCCCAGTTCCTCTTTGTCATGGAAGCATCTTGTTTCTCCATTAATTTTGAGAGACAGTTTTGCAGGGTACATTGATCTGGGTTGGAGGTTATTTTCTTTCAGGGCTTGGAATACTTCACTTCAAGCTCTTCTTGATTTGATAGTTTGTGTCAAGAAGTCTGCCATGACTTTAATGGGTTTTCCTTTATAGGTGATCTGTTTCTTTTCTCTGATGGCTTTTAATAGTCTGTTCTTGTGATGAATTTCTGGTATCTCAATTATTATATGTCTGGGTGTAGCTCTGTTTTGGTTGTAGGTGGCTAGAGTTCTGTATGCCTCATATATCTGAATATCATTTACTTTTCCTATGCTTGGGAAATTTTCCTTAATTATTTCTGTGAATAGCCTTTGTATTTTCTTTGTGTTTACCCCTGCATCTTCACTCGCATTTTTTATTCTTAAGGTATAGATTCTCTTTCAACTTCTAGCCTTTGTATTGTTACTGCCTGTTTCCTTGTTATTTTTAAGAGATCTTTCCTTTCACGATCAGACATTATAAACCTATCTTCAAGTTTTGTTAATCTGTCTCTAGTTTCTTTCAGGCAATTTTTCCAGCTTTCAGTGAAGTTTTTAATTTCCTGGTAATCTTTTTGAATCTGTTTTGTGTATTCTAGGTTTTCTTTATATTCTTCTTCGAATGTTTCTTTCCTTTTTTGTGTTCCTCCATTCTTGTGTGTTCTTGAGAGGTGCTTAGCATTTCTTTTATTAATCTTCTTATATCTTGCTTTACTTGAATTAATATTTCACTTTTGAGCTCATCTGTGATATCACAAATATATCTCTTTATGTTTGCTGATGCTGTGTCTGATATTGCACATTTGCTGCCCTCAATCTCTTTTTTATTTACCTCTCCTGGATTAATATTTGCAGGATTGGGGGTTGGGGGATTTTTCTTATTTCTTTCTTTTGTCATGTTTTTGGTTTCGTCCATACAGGTGTATAGTGGAGGTCCAAGCCCCTTTCCTTGTTGATAATAGTTCTTTTGAAGCATGCTGGCTAAGGATTTCTGTCCTCTCCAGTTTGCTGTTGGTCATGAGGTGCAATCAGGGGCAGTACATGTTGGCCCCTCCCCTCCAAACCAGTCAACCTGTGGGGGTCTTCACCACGTTAGTATGTGCCACACGTACAGAATTGGCTTGGGACAACTTATTGGGCCCCAGCCAGGGGCATGACCATGACTCAGGCCAAGCATATCCCACCAATCTGCTCTGGGTAGGGAGCAAACAACTGAAGTCACTGACGTTCCTTGTTCATGACCATCCTGGATTCCAACATGTCATCCAGTTGGTCACCCCTTTCCTATGGGAGGGTCTTATTTTGAGCACTCACTGCAAGTTAGTGCAGGACTCCATGCAGGTTCCATTCTCCGTTGTGTTCACCAACCCTTGACTTCAGCATGACTGTGGCTCCAGTGAGTTGCGGTGGTGGCATGAGTTTGGGTGGCTCCAATGAGAGCAAAGGGGCCACTAATCTTAGCTGCTCCAATGGTAGCCCCGGGACTGTGTGTTTGACCAGTTCTTTTCCCTTTAGTTTCTTCCTGGATTGAGAGTATCCATCTCCCTCTGTCTGGTCCTCTTCAAGATGTTTTATCCTGACATCTGAGATGTTTCTCTCAGGGAGGCTCTGTATTTTTCTGCTTACTGATCTGCCATCTTTAGCTCCAGCCCTAAAGTTCAATTTTTGTATATGGCTATTTCTTTTTCTTCTAGCTAATTGAGGTATGATTAACAAATAAAAACTGTATATATTTAAGGTATACAAAGTGATGTTTTATATACTGCATACATTGTGAAGTGGTTGATACAATTAATCTAATGGATAAATCCATCACCTCAGATAATTTACTTTTTTAATTTTTGGTATGAATACTTGAGATCTATTGTGTTAGTAAATTTCAAGTGGATAATACATGATCATTAGTAATGATCACCATGCCAAACTAGGTATGCTTGTTTCTTTTGTGAAGTTTACATACAGGGAAATACACAATTCTTAAATACATATTCACTGAGTTGTGACTAGTGTGTATCCTTGCATAACCCAAACCCTTTCCAAGATACAAAACATTACCACCACAGTTCCTTCCTGTACTCCAGTCAGTCTCTACCTGCACAGAAGAAAGACTGCTGTGATTTTCTTTTTCCACCACAGAAAAGTTTTACCTTTTATAGAAGTCCATATAAGTGGAATTGTAGTCTATATCTTTTGACTTCTTTACTCATCAACATTTTGAGATTTACCCATATGATTGCTTGTCTCTGTCGTTCATTTCTTTTAGAGACCTCAATAACATCCCATAGTTTGTATATTTATTTCCTTATTGAAGAACTTCTGGTTTATTTGGACAATTATAAATAAGAAATTCTTATACATGTCTTTTTGTAAGAAAACATTTTACTTCTCTTAGGAATGAAATTTATTGTTTCACAGGATAGATGTATGTTCAACTTTATAAGAAAACACCAAAAGGTCTTTTCTATAAAGATGATTATACCATTTATCTTATATATGAAATTGTCTTGCCATTGTATGTTCCCATGACAATGTATGAGATTGTGGGTTGATCCACATTCTTGCCAAATTTTGGCTTTGCTGACCTTTTTTATTTCAGTCTCTTTGGTGAGTATGTAGCAGGTGGACATCTCATTGTGGTTTTAACTTGCATCCCCCAATGGCATTTTTTCACATGCTTACTAACTCTTTGTAATTTTTCTTTTGTCAAGTGTGTACTCAAATATTTTGAGTCTTTTTAAATTGGGTTGTTATCTTTTTATTACAAAGTTGTAGGACTTCTTCATATATCCTGAGTACTACTCCTTCATTAAATGTTTTGAGAATATCTTCACCCTTGTATCATTTCCTGAGGGAATTTAAAAATAGATGAATTCTAATTTATGAAAAATTTTCAAAATTATAACTATAGAAACTTATAACCTCCTATCATTTACTCAAGACAAATTTATCTGCTTTTAAGATATGAAAATATTCAGTAACTCATTATTAGTTATATTAGTTATGGTCTTTTCATAGATGCCCTTTAGCAAATTAAGGATATTTCCTTCTATTTCCAGTTTCTTGTGTTTTTTTAAAAAGTTATAAGGTGTGCTGAACTTTTGTTAAGTGTAATTTGTATGTATATTGAAATAAAAGGTTTTTTGATCTTTACTTTTTAATATATTGAATTGTATCCATTGAATTTTAATATTAAACTATTCTTATATTTCTGAGACAAACTCTACTTGGTTGTGATGTATCATTCTTGTAATCCATAGTTGGATTCAGTCTCCATGAGGAATATTTCCCATTTTTTAAACTTCCTTCTATGTTCTATTTTGATAATGGCTTTATCTGATTTTAGTTTTAGGGTTATGCTGGCCTCATAAAACAAATTGGTAAAGGGTCTTTTCTCTGAAAGTTATTGTAAAATTTGGAGTTATTTTTTCCTGAATAAGACTTGTGGTCTATATGTTTGAGCCAGCATTTCAGGTACGCATGGCAATAATAGAAATAAGTAAACAGGCAGAACTTTTCACCCTGTATCTGTTTGGGTTCTGGTTTCTTCTTTCTGGTAACTTACTCCCTAAGCACCTCAGAAAATTCGTCTTCTGATACCTTGGTTTAAGAAACAGGACCACATGAAGTTCTTTTGACTCTCTTTTGACATGTGTTAAGTGTACAGTGTATGAAGAGGAAACTGCAGCTGTGAAAGTCTTACCCTTTGTACCAGTATCAGCTCAGATGCCCGTAAGAATATCTCCTTGGTCTCTCAGTGGGAACGAGCATCTCCCTTACTTCTGTTTTCTTCACAACAGTTCTCCCAATAGCCAAGTACACTTTGGAGGAAGGATCTTACTGGTAACCTTTGTCCAGCATTCTAATTCTGATTGCCATTCCCTGGACGTGTGAATTTTGTAGGTCTCCTTTTCCTCTGAGGCCCTGCAATCTTCATATGTACTTTCAGAGACTTCAACTAAATTTGAGATCATTTTGACATTTCATGGTTTTCTCTAAAATATATACATTGTTAATAGGAATGAAAGTTGACTAGATTGTTTGAACTCACTAATGAAAATGATGATGAGATTTTGCATAAGGAGACTGATGTGTAATTGCCTAAACTCTGAATAAATAAATGCCAAGTGCATGCTTGATGGCTCACAAGTTTTTGTGCTATTTCTCTTGTATTGAAACACAGCATGATGGTCCCTGGCAATGCAGCAGGGGTGGCCAAGCAGTTCCTGCGCTGCATCTTCCATCAACTGGCCCCCAACGGCATCTTCCCGCAGTTGTTCCAGAGCACCATCAAAGGTAATATGCCCAGAGGTTCCAGGCACTGCAAACCTGGCTAGTCCCAGAAACCGGAACACTACTGAATCTGATTGTTTGCTTTGCAGATGGAACTTTTTTACGGACTTTGGCCACATCCCTCATGGACTTCAATGAATTGAGCTCTATCGCTGCTCTCAGTCAGCTCTTGGAGGTAGGTTTGCTGAAATGATGCCCCATACCCCAGCCAAAATTTCACTCTATACAGTAATGCTGGGGAAGAAACCTACATTCAGTAACTCAAAAAACTGATTTAAATTTTGTACGGATTCACTGTTCATTTAAGCTTCTAGATACTTTCAAGCTGGAAACTCACGTACACAGAACTATTGTTTGAACTTAGAAAATGAGCTGTAGTAGAAGGAGCAGCACATAATGTTTGGCAAGACTCGCGTTCCAGGACCTAATTACAGTGGAATATGGAGCATTAGATCACCAGACTGAGATTCTAGTTCTGGCTCCACTGTTTATACACTGTCTTGCTGTCTTGTGAGACTAGTGTTCAAGTCTCAGCTCCACTGCTGTGGCTCTCAGCTAATATTTTGCTAGAAAGAAAGCTGCTGCTCTTGTAATTTATACTTTCTGTCTTTGGGCTGAACAATTCTTTCCAGTGAGCATCATGTGCTGTGATTTCTTAGGACCAGACTACATCAATTATAGATCTTTATTTCTTGCTTAAATTTCACCTTTCATTGAGTCAAAGATCACCAATCTTCGCTTTGAAGTTTATCTGAACTTGTCGAATTTTCTGTTTTATTCCCATTATTGGCCTGTACAGTTGGCAGTCATCACATGTTTATAGAAATATATGTGACTTTTAAAGTTGATTTCACCGGGGCTGGGGATTTAGCTCAGCGGCATAAGCACCTGCCTTGCTAGCAGATGGTCGTGAGTTTGATCCCCGGTACCGATACAAATGAAAAAGACAAAAAAAAAAAAAGTTGACTTCACCAAATAGTTATATGAATGAATTCCCACACTGTTTCAGCATTTTAGCATTTGATTGCCTATTTTTGTGTTTTTAGGGTCTAAATAACAAAAAGAATTTACCAGCAGGGGGTGCTATGATACGCTGTTTGGAAAACATTGCTACTTTCATGGAAGCTTTACCCATGGATTCTCCTAGTAGCCTCTGGACCACAATCAGCAACCAGTTTCAGACATTTTTTGCCAAGCTGCCTTGTGTTTTACCTCTAAAGGTAAGCAGAGCCTGAGGTTTCATTTCTAATTACTATTGACCATTCGCTTACAGAGAACAACACAAGAAGCAGTCTTGGGTGATGTGATAAATCCCAAAGGGCTTGTCTGTCATGGAGTACAGAGAATCACTCAAGCTGTTCTTTCAAATATTACAAAATGACAGCAATATGGAGTAGGCATTTTGCTCACTAATGTAAATTGTGCACATTTTTCAGCTGATTTTTTTGAAAGTCAGGAAGACATTAGTAGATTATGTATAGCTAGAAATTTTCTTGAGTGTTTATTAAACAGATTAATAGTTTTGTCTAAAGGGGCCCAGATATATAATGTAAAGTTTTAATTTTAGAGATTATATAAAGGGAAATGTTCACTTAGGTGTTTGTGAACGAAGTACTTGTAAGACCAAGATATTTCTATTGGATTTACTACTTCTACTATCATGCCACCTTGCAAGAATGCACACATAGTAACTTACCTGAAAATAATATTTGCCCAAGCATTGGTACCAACACAGGCCCATTAAATGCCAACATGGATGCCCATATTACCAAAGCTGGAAGAGAGTTCTAAAACTTACTCCTTTCAGGCCCATCTTCGGTATGGGGGATTGCATAGCCAGAAAGGTGGTGCTAGTTGCTTAAACAGCTCAGTGGTGAGAGAATAAAAAATAGAACTCAAATCCTGTATGGAACAGCCCAGCACTATTTCCACCAACAACTCCTCAAAACCTTCTAAAGTAGGAATGAGGAGAAGGCATTTGTTCTCTAGAACAAGGAGAAAAGATGTGGTTGGCAGTGGCATTGCTGTGTCTTTGATCTGTAGTTCCACTAGTTATTTTGTGCTTTCTTTGTACACCTCACAAGTGAAAGTATTTAAATTGGAACACAGTGAATCATACACTAATCCGACAAGTGAAGTTATGTGTTGGCAGCTCCACCTCTGAAATGAATATTATATAAATAAAATATAATAAAGTTCAACCACCTCTAATAATGCCTTTGGTAAATTGCAGATGTTACTAATAGACAATGTAAGGATGATCATTCAGAGAGCCTTAGCTTTCTCTGTGATGGTTTGAGTTTGAAGGTAGAGTACAGAGGTACAGAGGAAGGATATTTAGCATTTCTCTCATTCTCTCACAAATCTAGATTAGCTGAATAAATCCACATTAAAAACATTAGCACTTTGAAACTGTAGATATATGTAACTACCATGCATACACATGTGAAAAATCAAATGCACACATTTTAACACAGCCACACAGAACCTCCCTTGAGGAGGAGTGTCATCATAGGAGTTCATTGCTAAGAGAGCCGTGTACTCTGAGAGGAGGAGTGGGGCAAGGTGGCAAATTCAGATGCATATGTGCTAACATGAGAGTTGAGATATTTAAAGTATTGCCTGCTGCAAACAACTGCTATGCCTAATTTGTAAGTCGGCCCTGTCCATAGGGACCTTGACTGCAGGACTAGTGAGTGAAATGGAGTGAGGTAAGACCATAGGAGAAATGAGACCCCTAAAAACTGTTAAGCATCTGTCCCACTGCAGGTTCAGCTACTACTCCACCTGCTGATCGTTATGTGGGTGATGAGGCCTCATATGGATCCTCCCAGATCTATGCTGACATTTCCTGATTTTTAAATCACTGACAGGGGTGGTGGGGTGGTGATGTCAACCCTGGATTAAAGTAAGTAAATGTCATATCAACTCCTTTGGGCATTGAGCACATTAAGTAGGCCAGTTGTTCCTTTAATAGACCCAGTAGACCCTTATGAAATACTTTTAGGATTTGCGTGAGAAGTTCCTCTGCTAGGTTAGATCTAGGCAGATGGAGGTTTTTGTTTTTAATCTCTGAGAAAAATATTAAGGCTTTGAATGATCTATAGGTTGTTACTATCAGTTTGGAGAAGTGGACTTCAAATTTAAGTGTGCATCAGTGTCCTTATTGATAGAACATGGATTACTAGACCTGATTCCTGAGTTTCTCATTCAATAGTGGGGCCTCAGGACTTGCATTTTAACAAATTTCCAGGAAATAGAATTGTTGCTGAATCCAGAGATTCCACTTAGAGAAACGCTTACTTGGTTGGCACCCTCTGAAAGAGGCTAAATACATAGCTGAAGAAATGAAACTGTAAGACTGGGGATATACCTTGCAGCATAAGTGCCTACTTGGCAAGTGTAAGGTCCTGAGTTTGATTCCTGGTACCAAAAAGAAATGAAACTGTAGCCTCCTATTGTGATACAGTCACAATGTTAAATAATGTTATGTTTTGTTTTGTTTTGAGTCAGGGTTTCACTATGTAGTTCAGGCTGGCATCAAACTCACTATGTAGTTCAGCCTGGCCTTGACTTACGGTGATCTTCTTCACTCAGCCTCCCAAGTGCTAGGATTACAGGTGTGTGCCACCATGCCTGGCCAAAAATATTGTTATTTATTCTTGTGGCAAAATTTTTCTTCAACCCAAGTAAATTCCATTTTAAAAGTATATTTTGAGGGGCTGGAGGTTTAGCTCAGCGGCATAAGTGCCTGCCTTGCAAGCAGGCAGTCGTGAGTTCGATCCCCGGTACCGATAAAAAAATATATATATTTTGATATATTTGCCAAATAGAACTCTAATAGATTTGTAAGGCATGATTGATTTTCTCTTGCTGAAATTTTACTGCATTTTCCCAGGTTTTTTTCATGTCTTTTCATAATGAAGAAAGAGCGTATGAAACTAGTTTTTGGTTTTTAAATAAATCAAAGTTTTGTTTCAAACATGATCTTTCACAAGATCATGTACCTCTTTAGAGTTGGATACATTTAATATCCACTTATCCACCCATGTTTCCATCCATTCATCCATCTGTCCATCTATCCACTCAGTTCTCTATCCAGATTCCTGTATAATTTAATTCTGTAGCTACATCTTTGAAAAATAGCCTAGAAGCTGTGCTTAATTATTTAATATTGTTTAATTGACTGTTTTATTAAAAATTTTAACTTGAGAAGGTTTATTTTCAGCATGAATAAATGGCATAAGAAACTCTAAAGAGGTAATTGTATTTTAGATTTTTATTTTTGCTAAAATAAACATACTATTTGAAGTAAAAGATCTATGAGGAAAGAACTGACTTTTTACCTTTTTCAATATTTGTTCACAGTGTTCTTTAGATTCCAGTTTGAGAATTATGATTTGCCTCCTGAAGATACCCTCTACTAATGCCACAAGGGTATGTATGTTTCAGAAAAACATAGCCAACTGAGAACTTGATTATTTTTAATCTAAAAAGACAGATGTACGCATACTGCATAATTCTTGTATCCTGAATGCTTCCACTGTCATCTCCTTCCTCTGCTTCTGTTAGGTCGGTGTCTAATACATCACAGTGCTATTGTTTATAATTTGCCATCCTAATCCTGGGTCGTGTCCACCAATCCATTCTCCATACTTCTAACTAGATGATCCTTCTAAACACAGAATTCACCATATTTGTTCCTTGCTTTAAAATCTTTGATAATTTATTCCTTTTAGAATAATGTGGCTTTTAAAAGTTACCTTATGACTTACCAGACTGCCTTTCTGAGTCCTTGGCTGCATGTCCCATCCCCTATGCCTCCTATGCACTTTCAGGATCAACATCATCATCCTCATCAAAACGACAACTGCTATTTATCGAATACTTACCTTATAGCTGACCGTGTGTTTAGAATTTTACATATATCATCTATTTAATTTCACACTTTTCTTGCCTTTGCTTAGGTTATTTCCTTTCCATGAAATGCTTTTACTCTTACCAGTATGATGAACTTCTCATTCTTCAAACTTCCATTTAGATCTTTGTAAATGCTCATACAAACTATAGCAATTACTTCCCATGTCAGTTCCCATAATACCTGCCTGAGCTTTCTGCAAGTTACATTGTCTTGAAGCCTCCCCAGTTAGACCATGAACTTCAAGAAGTCCAGTTCTGTCTCCTTCACTTCTGTATTCCCAGTTACCTCTATGGGCTATGTTATGTGAATAGTGCAATTGTGTGTATTGCAATAGGTTGTAATTACTACTTCATATACCAACAACTTGTGTTACCTGCTACTGTTTACCTTCATTGTGCTTTCCTAGACTCACAGTGTATGGTAGAAAGTTGCAAAGAGATTTTTTGGCTCAATTTGGTCACTTAGAGATAAGGAAATAGACTCAGAGAAATGAAATGTCTTAGCCAAGGTCCAATGAGTCCAAACTCTTTTGTGTTTCTTTTGTACATGTTGCCCATTACCATTCTTGTTTGTTAGATATAAGAATAAGTTTCTATATGGCCTTGATTTTGGGGTTTTCTTTTTGATCAATGAGGATGCATTATTTGTAGTGTGAGACCTATCCCCGTCGCTGTTCATCCATTGTTGGTATTTGAAGGTAACAGCCTTTATACAGGGCAAAGAATATTGAACCAAACATACTATTTCAAAGGCTTTTAAAAAATGTTCTATATAGAAACCATCACCAAAGTTTCTGTGGAAAGTACAAACAAATAGAAAGCATAATTTCTATTCTCAGGGGCAACTAACATGCAATGAATTCATGTTATCCTTCAATAAGGAAGAAACCTCAAAAATGCTCATATTCCTTGATTTAGTAGTTTGTTTTTCTGAAAAATCTAAGAAAATGAAAATTTCATGAAAAATATATTTATTAGGGTGTTATTCATAGTAAGATGTGACTCTTTTTTGGCCATTAAAATAGATGGGTGATTACAAAAAATTAGATGACACTAGACTTTTCTTTTTATATGAAGTTATTAAAAATAAAATGTATAATTTGCATATATATAAGATATCAACTAAGCAAATTGATACACGTTGAAGAAACGAAGTATTTCAATGTGTTATCTCTAGAGATGAGACTACGTGAATTTTATTTCCTCTTCAGTGCTTTTCTACATACTCTGGATTTGCACATTTTTATTACTTTTATAATGCAGACACTAAGGACTATAGAAGTTGAAAAATAATGGAAGTCATGACATGGGAGTCTTTTGGAGTCTAATCAAATCTCTACAGAGTAATTATACCTCTGGAAAATTTCCCTGGGATTTGGGCTTGAATTCATTCAATAATTGTATGGCCTTAGACAAATTCCTTGACCGCTTAGCTACTTCAGTTGCAGAATAAGAAAACAGACTTCTGGAGGGTGTGATTCTAGTGAACCATGCATGCCCAAAGGTTCTGAGAAATAGAGGGGCAAATCCTAACACAAATCTCACAGCGTCTCGATTGCTTAGAGTGGACAGGAAGATAGGATACTTCTAGTTCAGTAGGTTTGTATATTATGTCACATGGAAAAATGGATTTTTGAGCATTAAAATAAGGAAGTCATGCTCTTTCAGCCATTGATTGAATGTGCAGTTCTATTTCTATTGAACTACAGTAGCTACCTGGCAACAGACTTTAAATTAAGGAAGAATGTTTCCATTAGTTATTGTGAAAAGACTTTTAATACTTTTTTTTAAAGGTAGAAACCAGCAATTTGTTTGGTCCCAATCTCATTGCAGAGTTTGTTGGAACCATTCTCGAAACTGCTCAGCTTTGTAATTCAGAATGCTGTCTTCACTCTGGCCTACCTGGTGGAGCTGTGTGGCTTGTGTTACCGAGCTTTCACTAAGGTATGTTCCATGTGTGTGTTTGTATAAAACCGAAAACCAGCAGAAATAATTCTTTCTAATCAGTCTCAAATCTGTTAATTGTTAACAATCATGTTAATTGTTTTAATATGGTTAATAATGAGTAATCTTGCTAAGGTCTAATGCATATCATTAGAAGGAAACAGTTTGCACATACCGAAATATATCTAAAATATGTAGAGTTGGTAGTCTTACAATTTAAAAGAGATATTTTGAATGGATCAAATTAATGATCTAAATGACCTCTCAAAGGCTTTTTCAAGTTCACTATCCCATGATTAATGGGCAAGCCATTGCTACATATCATTTTTCATTCAAAGTAGAAAAATATTGACTTGTCATTTGTAAAGTGCACAGAGAACTCCTTAATTCTCATCATTTGTTTGTTCCCCAGTTCTGGGTTCTTGGCCTCTGAGATCAGGATCTCATCTTTTGTCATCTCGCCTTAATCACAGTTCCTCTATTGAATTATCTTTAGTGCTCCTTTGCCCACAACTGAGAAAGTGGAAAAGTACTGCTTGCCCAGCAGATGCAGCAACTGTATTGGAATTCATAGACGCTCTTGGAATGGAAAAGTGGAGGCAGGAAATATTAAGAGCATTTCTGTACTTAAGAACAATATGCATAGACACTTCAATTTCCATATTTTCCAAGTTTATTTTCAGTGGGGTCTCTGTTTGTGTTTTTCCCTCTTGAATATTTAGAATGCTTGTTTATTTATGTTGCTCACTTTTACAAACCCTTTTATTTCCTCATAAAAATAATTTCATTCTCCCTAAAACAGACTTGTCTTCTTGTTTTTTAACTTGTGTCCTTGCTGCTTGTTAAACATGCCATGATAATTTTTCCTTTGGCCTTTCTAATTACAAGTATTTTTTACCTTCCCTGGAGCAATATATTTTCTAACTATTAAGATAATCAACAGTTTTTTTCTTATTTTACATCCCTCTTAAAAAATAACTTCTTCCCTTTTCACCTAAAAAGTGAGGTGACACAACACCAAATACCATAAAAGAAACTGTATTTGCCTTAGTCATTTTATTCTTTAGCTGTCTTTATGTTTGATTTGTTTAAATTTTATCTTATTTTGGAGAAAGATCCATAATGAGTTTTTACTTGTTGGGAACTACAGGTACTGATTACAGGAGACCACTCAGGATTCTGAAGTCAAGATAGTCATGGTTTTGAATATTCATTATAGTGTATGCCTTCTCATATTCAATTGTAATTTTAGTGGCCTGTCAGTTCCTGTTGTCATATACCGTTCCTTCAGTTCTCCATTGTAAAATGATTATTATTTATGTAAAGCTTCTGTATAGACTGTACCCACTCTTCTCATAAATAATGAGAAACTATAGGAAACAGTCAGTAAATAACTTTTTTGAGCCTTCTGTGATCCAAAGAAAAGGGACAGTAAAGTAAGACCTTTGGAGACTTCTTTTTTGGAAAGTCTAGATAATCTGAAAATTATCCCCGCAAAAAAAAAGTAGAATTCAGGATGAGACAGAATAGACATGGTTTTAACATCTACCTGATTTTTATAAGAATGAAAGAGGCAAAAATGAGTGAATTGAGACCCAGAGCAATAAACATAGAAGCATTCTAGGATGGTTTGTATTTTAAAGTCCGCATAAGAAAGAAGATGAAATCTTAGGAATGCTCTGGTAGGCAGTTGGAGCTGAGTCATCCTCAGTAGAAAATTAGAACCTTCAAAAAGCTATATATTTCATAAAAGGGAGGTTTGGAAAGAATATATTCTTAACATTGGAGTGAGAAGAAATGGTACCTGTTTCAGCCTGGGAGCTGTAGAATAATTGTAGTCTCCTTTGAGAATTGGTAAACATAAGCCTATCTTTGAAACACTTAGAGTTTGAATTTATAACACCTTCATGTTCTGGGAACCTCCAAGCTGAAAACTTAAATAACATTGATGCTGAGCAAGTTGCTGGTGTTGAGCCTTGAAATGTCTGATAGAAGCAAGCCCGAAGGCAAGCCTCAAACTTCTCTTGTGGAATATATTTTCCACTGAGCCTCAGCAATATTCCTGCATTTAAAATCCTGATGAGAATAAGCTCAAAATTTAAAATTACCCAAAGAAGGATGGGGAAAGGGTGGGGGCAAGAGGAGGAGGAGGAAATAATCTACCATGAACTAGATTAGCAAAGTCAACAAATAGCAAGTTTTCTCCAAAAACTTCCAATATGAAAACTGTGAAATAGAGGCTATAAAACATATATCAAATGATAAGCATATACAGGATGAGTAAAAAACACAGAAAGCTCTATAGTCATTTTAAAAAATGAACCAGATTTAGCTCATTGATTTGGACTAAACAGAAATCGTAGAAATGAAAAATAGTCCTGGATATTAAAATTTTAAGTGGATAGACTAATTAGACACAGCTAAAAAGAAAATTGGTGTAGTGGAAAATGGATCTGAAGGAATTTTCTGGAGGGCAGCAAAGAGAAATAAAGAGATAAAGGATACAGTGAGAAGATATAACATCTAGTAAGGTTTCAGAGAAGCAAAATAGGCTTTTAATTAATTCTAGAATTAATGGAAGTTAATTCTTTGACTCAGAAAGCACAGTGAACCTAAAAAGTCTTAAAAATAAAGTTATACTTGCTCATGTCATAATCTAGATGAGTAGGTAAAATTTAGCAGAAAGGTCAAGACAAAATATTTTAAGAGAAAAAAAAAATATTTTAAGATCAACCAAGAGAATAGACACCGTAAAGAAAGACTACTTCAGAACAACATGTGGAAATGCTAAGATAATGGAAAAAAAATGATTAAAATGATAAGAATAATTAACTATTCATATAATTTCTAAGATATCATTCAACAGTGATGACTAAATAAATATGCAAGCAGAAAGGTAAGACATTTTATGCAAACAATTTCTAAAAGATATGGTAAGAAGGAAATTGATGCTGGACATGATAGTGGGTTCCTATAATTCCAGATATATGGAGGGCTGAGGCAGGAGGATTGCAAGTTTACAACTTGCCTGGGCAGGTTAGTGAAACTGTGTCTCAAAATAAAAAAACAAGGGGTTGTAGTGCACCTCTGCTTCTTATTTCCAGAACCACAAAAAGTAGGAGTAAGGGGAGGTGCAAGGGAAAGGAGGAAGAAATTGAACCAAAAATGAAGCTGTAAAACATCTGAAGAAAATCTAAAGAAATTGATAAAGTATGGAGATATTATTACTGACAATATAAGGCAGTAATAATGTTAGATATAGGAGCAAAGTGCACACTACAACACACTACATACACACACAAACATGCACACGTGAAAATCTTACAGGTTATTGTTACCCAGTATTTCACTGTGTGTACATGCACACTACGTGTATGCACACAAACACACGGTTAATGCATTCAATTTATTGTTCACTAGAAAAGCAGAGATTATGAGTAACTTTAAACTCTTAAGCATACATGTAAATTTTAAAAGTGTAGTCTCATAAGGTCAGAAATACCATGTGTAAATTCCAAACAAATGGAGAATAAAATGGAAATAAAAATTCAGTCAAGACAAAAAGAATTACAGGAAGCTGTACAAAATGAGTTATAAGTGTAATAAGCTCAAATAAGAAGAAATAAATTCCAAATAATCATAATAAATTCAATAATGTTAATAAATACAAGATTACTAGGCTCACATAAAATTGCCAAATTGGATTTTAAAATAGAGCTACATTGTATTTATAAAAGATACATGTAAAAGAACTGGGAAATTTTGAAAAAAGATAAAGAGAGAAAAAATTACACAAAAGATACTAATGAGAAGAAAGCTAAAGTTAGTAAATTGACTTTCACTGAAAAGCATATCATAAAGAGTTGATATATAAAAGGAAAAATTTACCAGGAAATTTGTGACAATTCTAAAACTATAGAGCAAATAATATAACCTCAACTGTATTAAATGAAAATTAGGACTACAAAGAGAAATTGGCAAATTCACAAGCAATCATAGTGAGAGATTTTAGATGTATTTCAGTAATCGATCGAGCAGATATAAAATGATTGTCTGAAGTAGATCTGAGCAACACCATGATGTAAGAGTTTTAAATCCACCAATTTGAGAATGCTTTAAAAACATGGAACATTTTAAAATGCTTTAAAAACATGGAACATTTTAAAATTCAGAGTAAAGAGTCCACAAATTAAGTCTTTTGTGTGTGTGTGTGTGTGTGTGTGTGTGTGTGTTAGGAAATGAACTCAGGACCTTGTGTTTGCCAGGCAGTGCTGAGCCACTGAGCTATATTCTCGGCCACAAGCTAAGTCTTAAAACATACTAGAATGCTGGTTTTCATGAGACCCTGTTCTCCAATCTCAATACAATTAAATTATAAATCCATAAGAAAACTGTGATTGCATACAAATGTTCAAAGCTGGCCCAAACAAGGGCTCCATGGCTCCATGTCTAGTGGGATACCATTCACATCGTGTGTGTGTGTGTGTGTGTGTGTGTGTGTGTGTGTGTGTTTTGTTATATTGAGACAGGTGTAGATACTTGTCTCTGTAGTTAAGCTCTAGACCCTAGAAGAGGATCCCCCTACATAAAGCCACATCAGCTCGCAGTGCCCTGCAAACCTGGGGAAAAGTATATGTGCACACTTCACTGGTGCACAGCAACACTGTGTTACAGCTATGTCCCAGGAGTTTTCAAGAGTCTTCTCTTGACTTTCCCCTATTCACAAATGTCTGAATCTTATCCCCTCATCAGATTCTGTCCCTTCACTTTAGCTTCAAGGATAGGGTGTTTGTAGAGTACATGCATGAAACATTGAGAGTGTGTGTGTGAATGTGTGAGGGTCTTTGTGCATATATGCAATCAGGGTTGTTGATTCCAGAACCCTAAAAACTCTTAGTTCTTTAGGTTTTGCAGTCGCATATGTGTGTATGTGTGTGTGTGTGTGTGTTTTCTGGTTCATATTAATGAGCTCTGCAATCTGCTCTATTTGGAAATTAAAATATTCTTTTAAATAGTTCAAAGATCAAAGAAATATAAGCAATTTTAGAAAAATATTTAGAATAACTAAAAAAAATACTGTCTTCCACAGCTGGGCATGGTGGTACATGGCTGTAATTCTAGGACCTAGAGGCAGGGACAGGAGGATTGCCATGTGTTTGGGGACAACCTGGGCTACATAGTGAGTTCAAGGCCAACCTGGCCTACATAGTAAAACCTTGTCTCAACAGAACTACCTGCAAACTTTGACAGTTACAGCAACAGAGATGTTTAGAAGAAAACTTATATTATTAATACTCTTATTGGAAATAAAAAAGAAAAGCTAAATGAACTAAACAAGTCCACTTAAGTTACAATACCATGATAACTGCAGAAAATTTAAGGAAGAAAATAATAAAGATCAGAGCAGGAACTAATTAAATTTAAAACATAGATAAAATAGAGGAGCAATATAACCAAAAGCTGGTGTTATTATTTTTTTTATTTTAGTGCTGGAGATCAACCCAAAAGTCTCACTTTTGCTAGGTAGTTGCTCTATAACTGAGCTGTATCCCAAGTCCTGAAAAGGTGACCTTCTGATTAGGCTAATAAAACAAACAAAACATTGGCAAGACTTTTAAAGGATACCAGAGTAAAGGTACAAATAGAGAATATCAGCAATGAAAAAGGAAATATAACTGCAGGCATTTTAGAGATTTTAGACCAACTTTATAATCATAAACTTGAAATCTTGGACAGCAGGGACATTGTCCTTAAAAAATGTAACTATCAGGGAAAATAAGAAAAAGAAGAAATCAACTAACCTTAAATGATTAAAAAATGGAATTGTAATTAAAAACCTAACCACAAACTCCATTGCAACTTTAGAGACAACTTCTGTAAAGATTTAGGAACAAACTGATCTCTGTACAAATTAATAGGATAGGAAAAAAAAGAACTCCAACACATTTGATGAGGTCCTGATACTAACTAGAGAAGAGCAATAAAGGAAAGCAAAATTACAGGCCAATGCTCTTCATACATGAAAAATTCTAAACGAGTAATAGCAAGTCAATGCATTAAAAATAGAACCTCATGACCTAGTTGGGATTTTCATGAAGTATAAAAATGGTTTAAATATTAGAACATTTGTTAATGTCTTCTGTAATCATATTGCAAAATCAAACAAGTGTCATTATTTCAGCAGATGTACACAATACATTTTTATAATTCACCATTCATTTACCATAAATTGTCAAACTAGGAACAGAAAGGAATTTCCTTAACTTAATAAAAGAAGATCTGCCAGAAACCTCTAGCAAGCATTATATTTAAGGGTGAAATGCCAACAGTTCCTTAAAATCCTAAATACAAAGCTATCACATAACAGTCTTCTTTTTACTGTAGTGCTAGAGGCTCAGTTCCATTCAGCAAGACAAGAAAAAGAACAGGACTAGAAAAAATGCAACTCTCATTTTTCATAGATGATGTCATTGCAAATGAACAAAAGAAAACCTATAGATACCTAGGATGCTAGATGCACACACATCCCCTCAATCACCTATTTTAATGTTTAGCTACAAAGTATTATGAGATGTACTTTGAAAATGTTATATGCTGAGGGTATAGCTTGGGGACATAAGAGCTTGCCTGGCAAATGCAGGGAAATGTAGGGTCCCAAGTTAGATTCCCAGTACAAAAAAAAGAAAGAAAAGAAAATGTCCTATATGCTATGGCAACAAAAAGTAAACCTAAGAATATTATGGATATAATCAGAACATTTCATCGAAGTAAATGGAGACATTCATTTTGAAAGATAAGGACTCAGTATAATAAAAACAGCTAATTCTGATCTGCAGAGTGTGAGGTAAGCCCTGCAGGCCAGTTTTGTGCTGGAAGTGTTTATCAGGCTAGAAAATGTGGCTGAAGTGCAGTTTTGGAAACTCCATAACACTAGGAGACATGGTCCGAATGCAGGACGTTTTACAAATAGTGGAACTCTGTTACCACACCTCTGACCCAAAGATTTTGGCTGGAGCCACAAAATAAAGACAGCACAGAAACAAGCTTCTCTTCACATAGATACTATCATTGTCAAGGCCTATCGTGAGCCAAAGTGAGGTATTAGATAGAAGTCTTGTTGTACATGGATTAAGGTACCCCTGGTCTGACATTGCCTTCACATACCTGACAGAGACAAACATAAGCTCTTTGAAGGAAAACAACATTTCAAATTATTTCTAGAAGTAATTTTAAATTAATTATTTCTGTAAATAATTTTAAAAATAAAGCATCTAGCGCGCAGCAATAACTAGCAATAAGAAAATGAGATGCAGTAAGTAAGGAAGAAAAAGTAAATGCGGACCCCACGGGCTCCAGTTACTTGCTTATAAGAGGATCAAGCAAGGACACGCAGAACCTTCTAAGGGGTTTGCTGTCTGTCCTGGGTGGTGATTTCAGGAGTGTTCAATCCATCTTCATCCATTTAACTGCACACTTAATGTTTTACATACTTTTCTACATCTGTATGTATTTGATAATAAAAAAAAGCTTACAGAATTGAAAACAATCTACTGCATCAGCAACAGCAAGACTGATCAGTGAATGTCTATACAGTAAATTGAGTTTGTACAACAAGCTGTTGAAAGAACTGGAGTTACATCTATCAAGAGGGATTAATTTCAAAAGCATAATTCGGTGGCTAATTTCCAGTTGCAGAAAAGCATGTGTAATATAATACCAACATAGAAAGTTTTAAAATATCAAGCAGAACATATCAAACATTATAATGGGAGATGCATGTAGGTAGTCATAGAGAACTGGGGAAGTTGCTTGGGGGTAAAGCGCTTGTCTGGCATGTGGAAGGCCCTGAATTCCATCCTCAGTACTGTAAAAAAAAAAAACAAGCAAAAAATAACAAGCACAGAAACTCCCAAATTGTTGTCAAAGTGTAAAAATACATAAAATAATAATAGATTCAGAATTCATAAAATAATAATAGATTCAGAAAAAGGAAGGGAGGGAGGAAGAAACAAAAATAAATGCTAGATAGGTATATTTAACTGATTCTGTAATGCTTTACTTATTAAAAAAGATCAATCAAATAAAGCAAAGTGATACGATTTTATAAAGATGTGGTAAGTACATAATCTATTTTATTTTTCTATATGCTTGAAATCATCTATTTAAGAAGGGAGTTCCTGAGATAGGACATAAAACTTTTGAAAAAGTTGTACATGTTTCTCTCTAAATAATTTTGTATTTAATAAAGTACTTTCCTGTTGTGGAGCATGCCTGTAATCCCAGAACTTGGGAGGCTGAGGCAGGAAGATCCCCCCAAGTTCAAGGCCAACCTAGGGCACATAGTGAGTTCAAGGTCAGCCTGAATGACATAGCAAGACCCTGTCTCAAAAGCAACAACAACAACAACAACAAAAAACTAGCTTGTTTGCTTGTTTAAGTGATATAGTTCTTAGAATTTATCCCTTGTGGGAATAAAATACTGTGGCTTTAATACTTAAGAGATACTGTTTTCTTATTTGTTAAGTCATATGTTCTCTTTGCTTTAGAAAAGGTATTGTACACATCTGTTTTTTTCTTTTTACTTACAATTTTATTTCTTAAAGATAACCCACTGTACATTTTTAAATATTGTTTTTGTTTATAATTTATGCAATTTTGGTCACTCTTTTGGCAGATCTAGTCTAACTGAATATTTAAATGGTTTACCTCTTCTATTTTGTTTTATTTAGGAACGGGATAAATTCTACTTATCTCGTAGTGTTGTTCTAGAACTGCTGCAGGCTCTAAAGCTCAAATCTCCTTTACCAGATACAAACCTCCTTCTGCTTGTCCAGGTAGGCTTACGCTGTATTTGTAAAACTTTTTATGAAATCTGCATATGTCTGGAAAAATTAAGAGAAACTAGGGTGTGTGAATAAAATCAAGTGTCTTTGTTCAAAGATAAGAAATAATATATTTTGGGGCTGCGGATTTAGCTCAGCGGCATAAGCGCCTGCCTTGCAAGCAGGCAGTCGTGAGTTCGATCCCTGGTACCGATAAAAAGGAAAAAGACAAAAAAAAAAGAAATAATATATTTTACATAAGTCAAGATCTAATTACTATGAGCCACTTGGCACTTCCACTGGCTAAAAGAGATTTTCTTAAAAAAAAAAAAAGGTTATTTATTGTTTGTTCCTAGTACGGAACTAGTTCTGGGAGGTATAAAATAAGAATGAAACCGTGATTTCTGTCCTTTAAGAAATGTATGGTCCAGTCAGCCAGCTTTTGGCCAGGACTAAGGCAGCCAAGATAGGCAGGCAGGAGGCCAAGGTCTGAGTGTGAGTCACATGAGCTTTGCCTGAGGTTTGGGCTCAGCCACAGGTGAATTGGCTTGGAGGGAAGGGAGAGGTTTGAGCAGAAGGGCAGAATAAATTTCAGGACAATGATATGAGGATGGGGCTGAGCAAAAGCAGTCAGCTCTGCCAGGGGAGTCAGCAGGGGATCTAGTAAAATGGGGCTCTGCCTCCCACTGCAAGAGCTGAGACTAGACTTAAATTAACTGTCCATGAGCTGTAACTGAGATAAGGGTATCATTCAGATGGCGATTGGGCAAAGTGTCCAGTAACTGAATCACAGCGTTAAAAACAATCCCAGTGTCTGTGCCTCCTAGTTTGGAATTAAATGACTGAAGGAAAACAGAAACTTGGTATCAAGCAACTGGACAGATTTCTCTGAATCATAAGCCCTTGGGTACTATGTGGGGCGAAAATGGAGAAGAGAATGTTAATTAACACCTATCATGTGTCAAGCTATACTTCCAGGGGGGCTGGACTCAGCAAGCCCTCCCCCACCCCCACTCATCTGACTCACACTCAGACCTCAGCCTCCTGCTCATCTTGGCTGCCTCCGTCCTGTCTTAGCACTGGCCAGAAAGCTGACCCTCCAACTGGCTGGATCATACATTTGGCTTGGCACATAATGGGTGTCAAATAACGTTCTCTTGGTTCAGAGACTGCTATGCAGGGCGCTAGAGAAAGAGACAAGCCGTAGCCTCTTCCTTTCAAGAGTTTGAAATCTTGTAGGTAAAGCTAATGTAACAGAAAGTACCAACACTGTACGTGTATGGATACAGTAATAGAGACATGTCCTGAATAAGGAAGCCTGTCAGTGAGGGATGATGTGGTCTCCCAGGTACACAAAGCTCAGTTTACCCAGTAGAGAAGAGGTGGGACACCGCTTGTCATTTACCATTGAAAAGCACTGCCAAGTCTCCTTCTCTCCCCACCTTAAATCAGTAAGACCAGAATTAGGTTTCCCTTGAGGTTTAATAAAAAGTTCATGTGTATTCACAGCAGTTTTCTGACATTGTCTGTCTGGGGGCGCGGAAGCTGTTCCAGAGTGAGGGCAGTGCTGCTGGACAGCGGCAGCAGTGGAGGTTGGATGTGACATAGTCAGAGTGAAATAGCTCCCCTTGTACTGAGGCACCAGACAGCTCAAGAGGAAGACAAAAGCAAAGCCACAACCAGAAACCATCTGTGCTCCAGAGGAGAGACAAACTGTGGCTTCTCCCAGTGGAGTACCATGAGCCTTCCCTCCTGCTCATGTGTCGAAAGCATTATCACTTTTGCGTACCAGTGACTTTGACACAACCAGCCTGCAGATAAAGAGGATCTCCATTGGTTTGGAGGAGGGTGGGTACACATGGCTTCAAGGAATAGCACGTGAGGGATTTCAGGTTAGCAGGTTGGCAGTGTCTGGAAGTCCCTTGCTTTTGATAGCATTCTAACTGGGGACTATCCCCCAAAGCACCCTAGGCTTCAGGGTGCTGGAAGTGCTCTCCTGAAGGCATTGGACAAGCCCCCAGTCTCGAGCAGGGCAGGTCTGTGTGACTGATCTTCTTGGGGTCTGCTACCCAACATTGGAAATGCTGGAGGCTGAATTTCCATGAAGTACATTAGTCAACCATAATAAGCACTTGTCGCAAGATAGCAAAAGAATACTGGCAGTTTAAATTACCCAGTGCTTAAGGAAACCATGAAAACAGTGGTTATTGCATCACAGTTAGGTGAATAAATAAAAAAACAAATTAGCCTTAGGACAAAGAAGGCAAAAGTAGATACTTCTCAGTGATTTTATTAATTCCCATCTGCCTTCAGACATGACATTTTTGTCTTTTAATATAGGTATAAGTATTAAATATGTATTATATATTTAAATCATTAAGTTTTAAAAGTCAAATTGTATGGTTATTCAAGTTGAAGGGGTGTTTTGGAGACATTTTGAGACACTGTCCATGAGGAACAACTTTATGAAGAATGTCTCAACCTCCTCTGACAACGAAAACTCAGCCATTAGTGTGTGCTTGTAATTCTGGCACTCCTGAGAGCCTGAGGGAGGAGGATTACAAGTTCAAGCCCTGCTTGGGCAATTTAATAACTTAGGGAGATCCTGTCTTCTTTTTTATTGAAGACTTTTTTTAAAAGTGTGGGGTTGTAGCTTCATATGAAGGCTCTGGGTTTAATCCTTAGTACTGCAAAAAAAAAATAATATTATGCCATTTTGAAGCAGCACATCCTTTTATAACCTCTTAGAGTTAAATAAGTTTTATTAATAATGAGAGAAATAAAGTGAGGCATACCTTAAAAACAAAGCAGTTTCCTTTTCTGCTCTGGGGTCCTGCCCAAGTCACTGGGAGAAGTCCTCGATGTGGGGAGAAAGAAGCACCTTTGTCTCTGAGAGCTGTGCGTCTTTCTGTAGTTTCTCCATCCCCTTTCCTCTTGGCCTTGGCTGTCTGGACTCTTGAGCTATTCACTAAAGGATGGTAGTGGTGGCTGCCTACACCCTTATAGCTTCTCTTAGGCTGGAAGATTTAGACTTCATTCTAGGGAAGCTTTCCTTTTTACTGGGCAGTGTCATCCCCGGCACCTGGACAAGAAGACTCATAGTATGGACAGTAAGAGCAGAGAGGGACTTTCCTCATGGGAATTAGTGGCCAGCATCTGAAGGCAGTAAGTGTATATCTGTTTAACTGAAAATGCAACTTGAAAACAGAAGCAAAAACAGTTGTTACATAGGAAAACTTACCTGGTCATCCATTATGAATGATGCCGGCTCTATTAATGTAAAAAGAATCAGTTGCTCTAATATCGGGTTTACCATTCATACTTCACCCTGTAAGGAGGGACTAGGGCATTTAATCTAACACTACTCTAATTAATACCTTAATAGGTGGGTGAGTTTGCTGAGATGAAACCATATTCTTCTCTTAGGCTGTGCCTTTGTTGTTTATCAAACATTCTGACATCAAGAATGTGGGCTCAATCTGTCAGGTACCAATCTAATTTTAACTACCAAAAGTTCTTCCAGGAGGTCTGGCATCATGGGAAATTTTCCAGCCTCTTATATTGTATGGGTTATCTAGCCATAGTTGCTGTTATTTATTTTTATTTACAAATTAAGTCACATGATTTTAAATGCTCACATGAGGAGTCTATTTTTGTTTGTTTTTAGTTAGTTAGTTAGTTTTTGTTGTTTGCTGTTTTTTAAGAAAAAAAGGCATGAGGCCAAGGCTTTAGCTCAGTGGCTTAAGCGCCTGCCTGGCAAACAGGAGGTCATGAGTTTGATCCCTGGTACAAAAAAAAAAAAGCACAGAGACAGGAAAGAATTTGCCAAATCAAAGAAAATTATCTTTTGCAGAATCTGAAACTATCAGTCATCAGGACATATTTTTCCTTCTGCACTTTGGACAAGTGCACTATCACATTGTTTTAGTTCCAACCTACTGACATTTTAGCCTTGCCTTACAACATTTTTCTCTTCTGCTGGTTTGCTGTAGATATTTGATGTGTCATTATAGTTATTCTTGAGATGGATTAAAAGAGTTTTCATAATAAATCAGCAATCCATTAAAAGTTACCATAAAGACTTAAGTTCAAGTCAAAATGAATTTCCTCAGCTCCTTTTATGTGTCGAGTAGATATTCTGATAATTTGCATGTACCACCTCCACTCTGTGGGATATACCTGCAATTCAGGTTATGAGAAATCACGTCTGTCAGAGATTTTCTTCTAAAAATAGGTTAGTTGTGGGCTGGAGGACAATGAAACAGCAGAGGTACAACTGTTGTTTTTAATTCACAGAGACTGTGGAGTTATTAATATTGGTTAAGTTAGTAATAACCCTATCATTCCATGGGATGAAAGGTAGAGATGGTATTTTGGGCATCACTTTGATAATGAATTTAGTAATGACACATAATGGATATCATGTTTCTTTTGTACTTTGTACTTACGGAGGAGTGAATATTTCAGTGGAATATTTCTCTCTGGAAGTATAGAATTCTTCCTTTTACAGAAATTAACATGTCCCTCTCTGACTTTAGATATATCTTTATACTTTGAAAAGTTCTGTACAATTATAGTGAAGTTTTCTTTCCGGTTCATAGTTGGCAGCTATAATAAAATTAAGGCAAAGATTTATTAAGGTTTTAATTGTACATATGATATAAAAATGCTTAAAAATAAAGAATGAACTATTTTAGAAACTCATGTACTTCAACTCTCTTTCATAAGCCAGATTCTCTGGGACGCATTCATCTCTTTTAGGGTGATAATTTTTATTCATTTTGATTTGTATGAATCATCATAAGTCAGACATTTAAGTGTGACCTCAGATCCTGCCACTGTGTGGCTGGTAACACTTGTGCTTCTGGGTCCACTTTGCTGATGTGGCACCTGGCAAAGGCATCTGCTGAAGGCTAGTTGCATTTTTGCTTCTTCTCAGATCCTATCTCATCCTCAAGGCCCATTAGGCCATCCACACACACTTTGGAGAACCCAAGACTTGCAATCATCCCTCCATGAGATGTTCCAAACACTCCTGTGCCTTACACATTAGATGTGACTCCATCTTCCCCATGGTTTCTCTCAGCTGTGCCGTTTGCTTTTGTAAAGAGATTATTAATTAAAGTGAATGCTGGTGTCCTGACAGAGATTTGGAACATAGCTAGAGATTGTTTGTCCATATCATGGTCTCAGGTAGCTTTGCAAACTACATTTTATGAGAAAACATGCAGTGTTTGCCAAGAGTTCAGGTTGAGAATGTTCCTTTTTTTCATTCTGCCAAATACTATAGGTTTCTTTCTCTTTTTTTCTCTTTTCTTTTAATGTACAGGTTTTAGCTTACATATTTTTTAAACCTGATTTAGTATATTTCCTTATAGTAGCATTAGAAATAAGTCCTAACAAAATTAGAAATAAGTCCTGAATCCTAGCTGCTACTCTTTTTTGCCTATTCAGAGTAAATAACCAAATGGAATCATCAGTTTTTTCTAATGGAATTTGAGGTCAATAAAAATGGCAAGAATTTAATACGGGATCTATGTCCACTCTTGTACAGCTCTCAGAACAACTCTGCTTAGTGCCCCTCTCCTGCAATCTTTTGTGAAGTATTACACCTTCAACACCTGAAGACCAGCTCTTGACTGTGAATGAGACATCTAAGGGCCCTGGGCCTCAGAAGGCCTTTGGTTGAGAGTCATACTTTATTAGCCAAAACCTGCCAAGGCTTGATAGTACTTAGATTTTGCCTTCTGATTAGTCTGACAATATGCTGGTTTCTGTTTCATTGCTCCAGAGCTCTTGTGGTTTCTGTACTACCCTATTATTTCTCCTGGTTTGATAGAGATGGAACTTGCCTAACTACACTGCTGGTCTTAACCCATACAGCTTCCCTATGGCTTCCAAATGGATGAAAGAAAAAGCTACCGGCATTGAAGCTGCTTCAGAGCCTCTGAACTAGATAGAGCAGCAGTTTGAGATGCTGAACTTGCTAGGGACACTGCCCAGAGTTCAAGAGGGAGAAATCAAATAACCAATAACTCGTAGCAAATGCTGTAGACCAACTTTTCCCGTAAAACCATAAGTAAATAGTTAGGTGTTGCATTAAGCAGGAAGCACATGTCAAAATCTGTAATGAAGCAAATTAAACTATAATATGGTAAACCCATTCCCATGATGATCTCAAGTCATAATTGATTAATTGGTTGATTACATAAACTCTTACTGAGTTCCTCTGTGATGCCGAGCATTAAACAGTGCTGGGGATGAGTTTCCTCAAGTCTGTGCTCTTGAAGAGCTTGTAGAAAGCTGAGAAACAGATTCTGGGTTCACTGCATCCTAATGTGATGACTGTCGAGAGGAAGTGTGTGAAAAGTCCTGTGGGTGATGGAAGTAAGACCAGGATTATTCTCAACACAGAGGAGACATTGGGTGAAGTGAGGAAAGGAAGAGAGATGCTGAGGGTCCTTGAGAAGGAAATACGTGGGCTACTCATTCTGGGATCAGTTTTCTGTGTTGATTCTGGATATCCAAGTGTGCTGTGCCATGATGATAGAATTCATGAAAATATACTAAGCATACTGTTTATCCATGTGTAGGTGTATGTGGGTATCCTATTAACAGAAAGTGTTTAAAAAGTGCTCAGACTAATGTTGACAGTGGCGCTATAGTTTATTTCTGTCTTGATTGAATTGACCATCTCAGTATCACTTGACTTTCTGAGTACAGTAAGAGACTTTGTGCTCACATTGGTCCTTTGCTGATAGGAATGAACTATCGTGATTAGCAAATCTAATGTATTTAGGGCAGACTGTCATGAAAATAAACACTAATGAATTTAAGTTAGGCTAATAAAATTATAAATTACTTATTACTGTCCAAATACTCTTAAAATAATTATCCTTTCACTTTTTTACTAGTTTATTTGTGCAGATGCTGGAACCAAATTAGCTGAGTCAACAATCCTGAGCAAGCAGATGATAGCCTCTGTACCTGGAGTAAGTCCTAATCAGATTAATTGTCTGCATTTTTATATTTCAAGAAATAGTGGTTGAGAATGTAAGCTTTAGACTCAGAAGGATTTGAGACCTGCCATTTACTCCTTGTGTGAGTTTAAAATTACTTAATTTGTAATTCTTCGATCTGTGTCATCTATAGAATAAGACATAGCAGGGCCTAATATATAGGTTAGGGACTGAGACAATACATATAAAATATTAACACAATGTCAGACATATAGCAAATGCTGAGTAAATAAATGTTACTTACTAAAAATACTGTTAACAAACATTTCTATTGTTGAATATTTCAGTTATTTTTCAGTATCCTGAAGTTGTAATTAATATGCAATGATCTTGTTTGTACTTAACTCTGTCCATTTGGACTATTTCTTTATAATAGATTTCTGGGAGTAGAATTACTATTCAGTGTTTTTTAAAAATATTTTTATGGTAATGCAAGATGCTGTCAGATAAATCTCAGCAACTTAGCACAGAAGAAGCATACTGTTATTCATGTAGAGGTGTCAGTGGGTATCCTGATTAGTAGGGAAAGGGAGCTTCCACACAGATGCCCTCATGTGTAGCCCTCTGCAATCGCTGGTGGTTAGGGACAGAAAAGAGAATGTGGTACATGGAGGATTTTCATGGTTCTAGGAGTGCTGTAGTTCTTCTACTCACATTCCATTGACTGGAACCCCATCACATGACCCTGCCGACCTGCCAGAGAGAACAGAAAACGTAGTCCACTTGAGTGCTAGGATGAAGAGAAGTAGGGCTGGGAGAAGCCACTCTCTCCTGTGTACCTGCTGTTTCCTTGTTGATTAATTCTTTAGAATTCAATATTTTGTACCTATAGGATAGCTAGGAAAAAAATAATATCCCTAAAGTGTAACAGGCTTATCAAAATCAATTAAGATAAATATTTCAACAATAACAAAGCAATAGTTACATGAAATTTACATATAGAAACCTTTCAGATGATCAGTAAACCCCACGCACAATCAATTATAAATTAAAAAATGAAAATGAAAGTAAAATAAAATATAAAAATATTTGATAATTTAAAAATTAAAACTGGCTAGTAGATCAGAAGTCTTTTCTTTTTTTTAAACATCACTTATTAATTTGTGTGGAATCATCACTACAGTCTATGCATGCCTGTCATTTCCAAAAGTTTCTTTCACCCACTTATTTATTTGCTTGACCTAAGAACACTTTATATAAGATTGGCTGTCTTGGCAAATTAAGTAGCACTGCTAACTATAGCGGTGTGCTTCCCATTGATCTCTAGCACTTATTTACTTGCATACTTGAAACTTTGTACCCTTAGCTAGTTCTTCCCATTTCTCCTTCCTTCAGCAGATTTTTTTCTTTCTTTTTTAGCAGTGCTAGGGATAGAACCCAGGCTAATGGTGACAGTGAAACCAACCTTGCTGGAGAGCAGTTTCACAACCTACTTCTAGGAATACATTTGAGAAAATAAGTAGCCAAGAGATTTATATATATATTTCTTAAAGCATCATTTATATAGCAAAAACAGGGAAACAAAAATCAATGTGCAACAGTAGTATATGATTTAAATAAAGTAAGGTAAACTATAAGGTAGAATGTTGTGCGGCTACCAAGTCAAAGTTTCAAAGAATATTTAATTAATTAGAAAATATTTATGGTGGATTTAACTAAAAAAGCAAGGTAGGGAAAGTTATTTGTTTTATGTATTTCAGAAACCTTGGGAAGAAATAATAATAGCCATTTTCAAAAACAAAAATTAGGATTATGGTGATTTTAATCATTCTTAGTAACTTGTATTCTCCAAATTTTCTGCAACAAACGTGTTCCTTCTATAATCTAAGAAATGTAACTTTATTAAAATCAGATATATTTTTAAGGAGAATTTGATGTGATTTGCTTTGATTCATGTACTTAGATTACAATGTTTTCAACTCTTCTTATTAAAATAAATATAGGGCTTCTGAAACAAATGACACTTGACTCTATGTTTTGTTCATTAAAGATACTACATCTAACATCATACTTAAGTTTTGCAAAAGGAGGATTAAAAATTATATGCTTTATTTTACCAGTACAAATGACTCCCAAAGATTCTGCTGAGTATAAAGTGGGTTTTAATCTTTCATTGAATGTAGTTATCTCTAGAAAACAGTAACTTTATAATAATAATTTCTTTGCTCTGATTTCTTGAGAGTCAAATTTAAAAGGCAAATATTGAATAATACCCTTCGTAATTATCTTCCGTGACATTTGACTAGTTGAACTGGTGTAAAATATCGCCTATAAAAGAGACAAATCCCTTTCAAGAAATTCAAGAGCAGAGTCTGTGCTCCTATTTGCATGACATGTGAAAGGTCAGAGAAAATGGAATAAATCGGGGGGAAATCCTTCTTGCACTGAAGGATTCATATTGTAAAAGCAGGAGCACAATAACCTTTTATAATTCCTTCACTCTATTTAAATTAAAAGAAGAAAACCTTAGAACATATGAAATGCTTGAAAAACAGTCTGACAGACTGCCAATGACCTTATTTTACTGTTTGTTATCCTGTCAGAAGAACTGACAAGCGTAACATTCTAGAAGAGAGAAGAGGTGATATAGTTCAGTGCTGTGCAGATTTACATGAATATGGGAAATGAGAGCCACTGGGTGAGCTAGTTAAGTACATAATGTTCCAGATTTTCCTAAAGAAAGCCCAGAGAGCCCTTTAGCATAGTATTCATATGGCTTCAAAGACTGCCTGCTTTTGAAACCCCATAATACCCAGCCTGATGTGTGGGTTCTCTCATATGGCTTTGATGTAGCAGCCTGTCTGTTCAGTTTCCTTTGCTTTGCTATAATCCTAAATGTGCAGCATCGCCCCGAGAGAGCAGGTCCATGCCATTTAATAACCTACAACACAAGCCTGCTTTCTTTTCCTTTGAAACTTCCCAAACATACTTCACTTATATGGGGAAGATGACCATTTAGTTTCTTTCTTTTATTTATCCTCAGCAAGAATTTGACTTGAATGTGAGAATTTTTGGCTCAGCAAACACCATGTTATATTTATATTTATATTTATATTTATTTGTATTTATATTTCTGATGGCGGAATTCCATGGAAACTGCATTTCATTCTGTCTCTCATAGGTCACCCCTGTTTCTTTGCTCTGTACCACAAACCTTTAGAAATTCTCATCCTAACTGTGGGGAGGCAATCACAAACTATGCTGAGAGTAGTCCAGTGAGTCAGAAATTCAGAAAATGAAACAACTCCTTAGTAAACAGTGCACAACTAGAGTGACAGTCACTGCAGTTGGTTGAAAATGAGGCTGTGGCCCAGGCATGTCCTTATGTTTCAGTGTGGGACTGCGGCAATGGAGTGCATGCGGCAGTACATCAGTGAGGTGCTGGATTTCATGGCAGACATGCACACACTAACCAAACTGAAGGTAAGAGGACTTCTGCTTCTTCATCTCTTAAGGTTACACAGTACAAGGACAGTTTTAGATACCATATGGGAATTTATTGCTGCCTAGGGTGGCAGCTATGACACTCTTGAATGAGCCCATTTTGGGGGGGCTCTGAAGAACCAGGATCCAGTTCTACAGTGAAGAAAAGAGAAGATATTCATCTAGCAGTAGCTTTATGCATAGCTTTATTTTTTTTACCATTTATTCAGTTTTCACAATGTCCCTATTACAATTATCCCTATTTTGCAAATGTGGAATCTGAGGCTCAGTATGATGTAGTACTAGTAAGTGATAAAGTCAGAGCTGAATTTAAGGCTGTTGTGACTCCAAATCCATTCTCCTTTCACTGTGTCACATAGATTCATTGAACTATCTTGAGCTTCAGTGACCCCATTTGCAAAACAAATCTGTAAGCCCTTTCTTTTGCTATAATAAGGCTGATATAAAATAACACTTGTAAAGGGCCTTTTTAAACTATAGCATATTATGCAGACACAAGCCATCTATTACTTTTATCTGCATGGAAGCTATCTTCTTCACAAAAACAATTAAAGAAGATAGTCAGAACAAAATTTAAATTACCTATGGATAAAAATCCCAGTGAAGTTGTTGATTTTATTGATTGCTTTGCAGAGTGGGGTGAATCACTGATTCAGGTCCACTTCTCTGCTATTATTCAGCCAGGGAGCTAAAATATTAAGGGCTTGGGAGATCTGAGGAAGGTCCTGGACAGTGGGCAGATGAGAATCCAAACATGGTCCAGAGAGCAGCCAAATTGCAATCTGGTGCTAAGTGATTCCTTTTTGATGAACAGGAATCTAGTGATGCCAGAAGTACAACGAAAGTATATAGCTCCCTCTTTACTGAGCTCAGCTTTAAGACTCTGCTAGACAGAGTGTTTCTTGGTATAGTGATAGATTTGCGTGTGCTAAGTGTCAAAAAAAATGAAAACTCAAGCTGACAATTTCTCACTGTATCTAAATCCTGTCATTTCTAAGTGTGGTCACATGCTAATTACTGATTGCTGCATGTCGTTGCCCGTACTTAAATGACTTTGATGCATAAAGAAGAGGAAACAATTATCATTCAAACATTTCGAGCTTATTCTGTGGGTATTTTTGAAAAATACTAAGAAAGATCCATAATGACTAAAAGGTTGGAAACTATGGATGTAATCCAACCTCTGGACTTCACATATTTAAAAAAAATCAGATCAAAAAGGTCAAGTGAGGAGAGGCTTATTTGAGGCCCATTAGGCTATTTAGGACAGAACTGGGTCTACAACATAGGTCTTAAATTCCTGAGCAAAGAAAGCTTTCAAGATTAATTCAGCAAATATTAATTGAACACCATAATGTGCCTGGCACTGTTGTTGTAGGCATTGCAGGTGTAGTGATGAGCAAAAATAGACACAGTAGCTGCCCTCATTTAACTTAATAGTCTACTAGAAGGCCAAGTTTGGTGAACATTTCACACAAGGCAACAAGTAAAATTGTGACTCTCACAGTTGCTGTGAAGAAGAGGTAGACAGTGGCATGGACCAGCAGGGAGTTCAGGGAAAGATTCATAAGGGTAATGACACTTGAGCCAAAATCTGAACAATTTGACGAAAACAGAAAGGCATGAGACAGCAGGGCAGGAAATACAGAGCCAGTGTGATAGATAAAGGATAAGATGCAGAGGCTGCAGTAGGAGATTGCTCTGGCTCCGTATGCCATGCATTTCCTCCTTTATTCTAAAAATGTGAAGCCACTGAAAATATCTAGACAGGTTGTATGTTTGAAGTGGTGATTGGAGTTGGGGGCAGGACAGCCTGATCTTTTAAAAGACTGGCCTGGGAAGTCTCCAAGTATTTGCCAAAGTTACAAACTATCATTTGGTTTTATAGAGTCACATGAAGACATGCTCCCAGCCTCTACATGAAGATACCTTTGGTGGACATCTCAAAGTTGGTCTGGCTCAAATTGCAGCTATGGAAATCTCCCGGGGCAACCATCGAGATAATAAAGCTGTGATTCGCTACCTGCCTTGGCTCTATCATCCTCCTTCTGCAATGCAGCAAGGGTAAGATTATTATTTTGGAATTGGAAGTAAACAAGGCAGGAAAAAACCCTGAGTTTCACAAATGCACTGAAGGTTTGTGAGAGTGGAATGTGCTTGGTGAGGAAGGTGGAGGTCTGGGTCCATGTTTGTGCTGACTTGTTGAGCCTCAGCACTTTGTGATGTGCTGCTCTTATATCTACAAAAGCCTTAGTCACCCTCATGGATAATGAATATTTAAAGCATAGAACTACTATTTAACTCAATTTCAATTAGTTAAATAATCGATAGTAGGTATGTATCCAGCACTCTGTGACTCCTGCTTTCAAGCGGCTTAGCTTGTAGCTGGAATGAAAGCAACAGCAGGGATAAAATGCAGCGAGGTGGAAGCTCCAGTGGTTTCTCTGGTGAGGCTGCAGAAGAGAGAGGCAATCACAGGCTGGTTTCCTGAGGAACTCAGAGCAGGCTTGAGCCTGCCGTTCTTCAAGGTTGGTCTTCCTGGAGAGGAAGGTGAGAGTAGGAGGTGAGAACAGGAGAAGAAAGTAGTAGGAGCAGGGAAATGTGAGGCTGGGAAAGCGTGTTCCTCTGTTCCCTCCACTCTGGTGAGCACGTCAGAGAACTTTGTGGTGAAAGGAAAGGAAAGGGTTCCGCAAAAGCTGATCAGGAAGACTTCCAGGATGCAGAAGAATGACACCTAATTCTGTGTCATCAGACACAGAATTAGAATTAGACACACAATTAGAATTGTGTCACCAGCTTTGTTCAGAAGCTAAGATCCAGGATTAGAGTGGAAAACAAGAAAAACAAATATGTCATTTAGTGGGTACAATATAACCTTAATGTTTTATTGTATATAATTATCTGCAAAATCATTTTTTTTAATCCCTTCTTTTTTTGTTTTTGTTTTTGTTTGTGCTATTGGGGATTGACTCACAACCTCACACTTGCCAGGCAGGCGCTTATACTGCTAAACTAAATTCCCAGTCCTTAATCCCTTCTTTAATGCTTCCTTCTCCAACAGACCTAAAGAATTCATTGAGTGTGTCTCCCATATCCGACTGCTGTCCTGGCTGCTTCTGGGTTCCCTTACTCATAATGCAGTCTGTCCAAATGCCTCCTCTCCCTGCCTCCCCATACCTCTGGATGCAGGTTCCCACATTGCAGACCATCTTATTGTTATCCTGATTGGATTTCCGGAGCAATCAAAGGTAAGTAATTTCTGCAAGATTAGGACCATATGCATGGAAATTGCTAATGGAAACCCTTATCAGTCAATTATCCTTCTTCTGAGAAGCAAATGCATCTTGTCACTTGCCCTCCTGTGGATGTTAGAAAAGCAACTTTGTTCTAATGCTTAATTTAAAGTTGTTTAGATTCCCAGACTGTCTTTATTCCCCCTAAATTGTTTTCCGGCTTATTTTTATGAAGATAAATTATGGAGGTAAGTCAGAGTTGGTTTCCCAGGCATTTCTGTCTCAAAACAATGAAAAGAAATAAAAGTCTAGGAATTTAATAAAAATTCTGTGATCAGTTTTCAGAACCAAGGATGAACTAGAGGAAAATTTATGTTCTGTCTCATTCCTTTTGCACTCTCATTTCAACTCAGATCTCTAGGGAAACATAAAAATAAGGCACACGCTAGACTCATCTAGACAGAAGAATTTTGTAAACTGTAGAGACTGATGATGTGCTCAAGGGGATAGAGTAAACTCCAGAGAAGCATCCATCATGGCCACATACTGCTAATCAGCTACAAAGAAACAACAGCCCTTCCCTGATCTTAGGCAAGCTATGGGAGGTCCTGATAAGTTGCAGGAACAAATGGGATTTAGGGCAGTCTGACTATGTGATAAAACAGAGCACTCACCTAAATGACCTGAATGGTATTTTCAAAAGGAATTAGCCAGTCAGTTCCCAGTTTTAACCCAGGTCTGTATTTGAATCCAAGCAATGGTATCTGTAATATTGTGAGCTTTAAAATTTACTTAATCTCTCTGAGCTTTAGTTTTTCATCTGTAGAGTAGGTGAGGTAATGGTTTGAGAATTATGGAAATAGGCTCTGAAAAGCCTTCAGCACTGTCCCTAGCACGTGATTGGGGCTCACTCCCTGCAGGCTCATCACTGGTAGGAGTGTTCTAGCTGCTGCCAGGGTGGCCACTACTGCTGCTGCTACCATTAGTGGAGGCAGTGCATTCATGCATATTATATCATTTTCTCTTCATAGAGTCTCTTCCTACTATTCTTCCCATTTTATAGATGAGGAAACAGCCTAAAATGGTAGACTGATAATTCTTGCTGATCTAGATGAGGGATGGGAATATCACTTTCACCAAAGAGAGAGAGTGGTATTAAGCTTTGTCTGAAAATTAAGGTGCCTTCTCTTCAGAGTGATACTTTCTTCTCTGACAGTGAGGAGCCGATTGTTTTAAAGTGATAAATCACAGTTTGAAACCGAGAGAACTCCCTCGTACTTTGTGCCCAGCTGTGCTCCTTGACAAGGCCACAGTCTGCGAACACACAGCACTGGTGCATGGTTTTCTTGCTTTCTAGACCTCTGTGCTCCACATGTGCTCCCTCTTCCACGCTTTCATCTTTGCTCAGCTCTGGACAGTGTATTGTGAACAAAGTGCTGTGGCTACAAATGTCCAAAATCAGAATGAATTCAGCTTCACAGCCATACTGACAGCACTAGAATTTTGGAGTAGGGTGACGCCAAGCATCCTTCAGCTAATGGCTCATAACAAAGTGGTGAGTTCATGCGATGTCTCCCCTCTGCGGTATAGTCCCACTCCTTGGTCCCTCAGGTACCAGGGTTTTTTTTTTAGCTCTCAGTTATGAAAGTATATAAGCGGATCAGTGATTTATTATGGTATAATCTGAATGTTCTATTTGCATGAGAATTTGGTTGAAAAACAAGAGGTTTATTTTACATGTGGTGGCCATTCTTGAAGACTGCTAAGAGAGTAGACATTAAGCATTCTCATCACAAAAATGGTAAGTATGTAAGATAATTCATGTACTAATAGCTTATTTAGCCATTCTACAATACATGTATGTATAAAAACATCATGTTGCATACCACAAATACTTTAAAACCCCAAAACAAATAACAATTTTGTGTTTCCTGCCTAAAAACAAATGAACTTCTTATGAAATGTCTACCTTTAAAGTGTTTTGGTGCTATAAAATCAAAGTGTTATGGGGAATAGTAAATTAATTTCTGGATTCCAAAGCAATTTGGGAAAATCAAAACTCATTAGGTCTGTCTTTCTTTTTTTCTTCTGTGTGTGTGTGTGTGTGTGTGTGTGTGTGTGTGTGTGTACCTGCTTTAAATCTTTCTGACCACAGTTCTCAGAGTTTAAAACCTGAAAAGAGCCTCATCTTTCTGTGTGGCCTGATGAGCAGGCTTCAAACTGTACCTTACTGAAGTGTAGATGGCTTGACTAGAAGGGCTGTTGCAGACTGCACTGCAAAGTATCTGGGCAGTGGTTGACTGAGTTCACTTCAGTGAACAAATGAGCTGGTCCTCCCTGGTGAGCGTAAGACAATATGAAAAGAATTTACACGCATGCCACCTTGTTTTGAAGGCCTATATTGTCAGTGTTCTGGGCTCTTTGGTATTGTTGTTTATATGTCTTTTTCATTTCATGTTTTTCTAGGAATTTGTTTTGTTTTGTCTTGTCTGTTTTGTTTTTCCCTCTAATACAGAAAAAATAGGTATACATATAGAAACTCATGCATGCATAGAACTTCTAAACAATTATGAGAACTGATTATATAATGCATGATGAAATAAACAGCTACTTTGAAGAAAAAGAGACACTAAGGTACCTAGTGCTGATTGCGTAGCCTCAAGATATGAATTCCAGCAATACTATTATTCTTGTTCCGAGTGATTTTAGTCTGTTTTGTTTTGTTTAATTTCAACATATGTGAAGGTATGGACAGTTATTTTGAAGAGAACGAGAGAATGGTAGCCATTGCTCACTTCCCTAGTGTCGGGTCTTGAAGACCTAAAATGCCTTCATCATCCTGTTCTGATCAGTTTTATACTATTTTGTTTTGTATGAATTCATTGTACGTGAAGATATGGACAACTATTTGGAAAACAAGAGACAATGTGATAGTGAAAATCTTCGGTTGTCTTGCTTTGAAATCTGTGTCTCTGACATTGTTTTCATATGATGTTTTGTTCTGTTTAATTTTACCCTCTTTAAAATAAAATTTAAAGAAAGAAGAAAGAAATTTACAAAGAACCACTGGGTTTTGTTTGCTAGAATGGATGAGGCATGTCATCTGGGCTGGGAAGGCACCAGCCTGTCTTGGTTAAGAGGATACCATCAGTGGAATTCTTACCAACAAAGAGGAAGGAACCTGGGAGCCCATCCTGATGATGACCACAGTGTGCTAGAAACTGAACACTCCCCTGTTTGCAAAAGGCACTTAGACATGATTTGTTAATTTTTTGAATGTTAATCTAAGAATATTTTCTTTTAGCTCTAATTAGAAAGAATATGGTTTCCTTTAGTTAAGCACTTTCTTTTCTTTAGAGAAGTAGACATTATGATTTTAAGTAGAGAGATATATTAGTGCTAAATACAAGAAATTTGTGTTGCTATGTTTGCAATGGGGATAATTACATTTATTGGACTACAGATTCTAGGACCAAAGAAGAACTTGGAGATCAAACATTCTGTTTGGTTATTTTACAGACAGTAAGTCTGAGGCTTTACACTTAAGCTAGAGATTAAAATTTTCCTTCTACTGACCTTAATTTTTTTGGCCCCAGTAGCACCCTCCTCTAAATCCCTCTCAGTATTCAGCTGTTATAAACAAATGTATTGCAAGTGAATTTCTTACAATGAACTTGAATTAATTTTATTCTGAATATATTGTTAGACCATAGAAGCCAGTCTGATAAAATCCACCAGTAGTGTTTAAAATCCAGCCTTGGGCATTTCCGACAAGGGAGATCATTTCTGTTGTACTTTTGAACTATGGTAAGCATAGCTGCCCTGTCCTCACACAGTAAAACATCAGAGGCAGATCTGTAATAAATTAAACAGCCATCTGTAATGAGAAGCAGTGGAGAAAGGATCAAGGTGGAGAAAAGGCCTAAGCCTGGAGCGCTATGCAGCTGGAAATGAAGGAAGCAGAAGCTGTTATCCTCTGGTGTGAGTCACTGTGCGATGCTGATTAGTGAGCTCAGTGCTTGAGTTCCCTTGGCAGCCAAGTTGGGTAGGGAGGGAATGACAACTGCAAAACTTCTAGAGCTTTCTAAAATTTTGTTTCTGGTTTGAGGTTTTAGAAATGGATGAAAATCACTCCCTGTGGTTCCCTCTGGCTGTTATCCAGAAAGACATCCTGGGCGCAGGGCTTCAGTCCTCTGCAGCTGTGACTAGCTTGCAAGATTTCCATATCACAGGGAGTGGAACTAACTTTCGTATTTGTTGTTTCAGATGGTAGAAATGGTGTGTCTCCATGTGATTAGTTTAATGGAGGCATTGCAAGAATGCAATTCAACCATTTTTGTCAAGGTAGGAAGATCTTAAGATTTTCATAGTCCATTCTTTACTGCTAAAAACAAATGCAAATTTATTTTGAATGTACTTTCTGAATTGAAAAATAAAATAGATTTAGTTTTAACACTTAGAACGGGGACTGGATGATTCAGGCTTCTATAATGATCCTTTAACAACTGGTTATTGTGTTATTTTTGTTCCTGCTCTACCTCTGTGACCAGCTCTTACCATGTCAGACCACAACTGCATATAACACATGAATTAAAGTATTACTGGGCAACATGAATGGACAGGTGACTCTAGAGTACTATGCATAGGTTGGTAATACTTTATTTTGTAAACAACATCTGAAAAACCAATGAAAATAGCTTGTAATTGTCTGACTTGGTATCTACTGCATTTCTATAAGATAAATGCATTTATTTTCAAGTATTCTTTTAAATTGGTTTATGAAAATAATTCAAGCATTGGTCATCTGTGCAGGGATATCGCAGAGACTAATGTACCTCATAATTAAAGAGTGAGTGAAAGCTTGGTTTCTTATCCCTTTATCATTCTGGCTCTCCCGTTTCCCTTCCTTCCTATCATCTTCTTAATCTCACAGATCATTTTTCCTTCCTCCTCTTGCACCCTTTCTCATTTACCTTTCCCCCCTCTGTTCTATTATCTTGGCCATTGTCAACACCACTGTTCACCAGATTGCATCAATTTGGAAACCTTCTAACTTGCTGTTTCACCCTTTGGTGAATGCCACTCTTGGTTATGTGTCATGTCATGTGTCAAGGTATGTGTCATGTTAATTCCTACACTGCTGCAGAAAAGCAGTCCAATTTCAATGCAGACTTTACTGGTACCAGAACTGTTCAAATGAAATATATACAGCTGGTTTATCTTATGTAACAAAAATCAGGCTGTGAGGGAAATGATATGACTGGCAGTTGGATGATCATACCTGACATTATCTTTTTACAGCTTTATTGAGGTATTATTTATATAGGATAAACTATACATATTTAAGTTACACAATTTGTTAAGTTTTGCAGTATGTTGCTCCTAAGAACCCATCACTCCAACCAAACTAATAAATATATCTATCGCCTCCAAAATTTTTCTCATTCCCATTTATACTGCTTCCTGTCTCCAGGCAACTGTTGATCTGCTTTTTATCACTGTAAGTTAGTGACACTTTTAAAAATTCTCCAAAAATGGATTCATTCTATACTTGTATTTTTTCTGTCTTCTTTCTCATAGCAGTTATATTGAGGTTAATCCAGATTTTCACATATATCAGTAGATTGTTACTTTTTATTTCTAAGGAATATTCCATTATATGAATATACTGCATTGTTTATCCATTCATCAGCAAATGGTCATCTAAAGTCCTAGTTGGGAGCTAGTACAAATAGAGCTGCTGTGGACATTCACATGTAAGGCTTCATGTACATACATGCATTTGTGTGCATTGGATAAATAGCTAGAAGTGAAGATCTCTGGGCTGTATATTAATTTTTGCTTCATTTTTTAAGATATCAACAAGCTTTCTAAAAGCATCTGCGTCCTGTTAATTTAGACTAGCAGTGGACGTCCATTCCAGTTCCTTCACATCTTCAGCAACACTTGATATAGTCCATTTTTTATATTAGTATTCTAAGAATTGGGTACTGGTGTTATGTTGTGTTTTTAAATTTCATTTCCATGTTGACAAGTTATAGTAAGCATTTTTATTTGCTTATTTGCTATTGATGTATCTGCTTGATATACCTATTAATTATTTGCCCATTTGTTGAATTTTTTCCTTATTATTGAATTTTGAGATATAAATCCTTCAGATATATGATCTGCAAAGATTTTTTCTGTGGCTTAATTTTTCATTATCTTGACAGTATCTTGTGAAGAAAAAATATTCTTAATTTTGGTGAAGTATCATTTATCAAAATTTTCTTTCATTTATCATGTATTTTGATTATTGTATTTTTAAAAAAATCTTTGCCTAATCCAAGGTCATACTCACTTTTCTTTCTGTTTCATTGGAGGTATTTATGTTTTCATATATCTGTGATTCATTTGAGTCACTTTTGTGACATCACTTTTGTGATGATATTGATATTTTTATGGTATGGAATTAAATTCTACTACCATTTTTAAAATGATTGTGTTCCCTTCCCAAAATTATCTTTGCATTTTTGTCAAAATCAATTGACCATGTATTATGTATAATTCTAGCTTTGGGTTCCCAGTTATGTTTCACTGATATTTTCATTTTTATACCACACTGATTATACTACTATACCTTAATCTAAATTCTTTTCCAAAGGTGTTTTGGCTTTTCTAGGTCCTTTGCATTTCTAGACAAATTTAAAATAAGTTTTCAAATTCTGCAAAAGAGACTACTAGAAATTTCATTAAATTTCCTTTGAGTCTTCTTGAGATTACATTCAAGAAAATTGATATCTTTATAATATTAAGTTTTCTTATTGATAAATATCAAATAGCCATTTATTTATGTCTTCTTTATCTCAGAAATATTTTATAGTTTTCTAAATACAGGCTTAGCATATTTCTGTCAAATGTATCCATAAGCATTATATTTTTATGCCACTGAAAATGATATTTTTTACATTTAACTTTCTGATTATTGTTGCTAGTATTTAGGAATGCAGATAATTTTTTATATTGACTTTAATTGGTGTTATCTCTTAAATATTTGATAGGATTCACCAATCAAGCCATTTGAACTCAAAATTTGTTAGATGCATTTATTAATTCAGGTAGCTTTTTTGTAGATTTCGTCAGATTTTCTGCAAATAAGAAATTTTTTCTTTCTTTTCAATACTTGTGTTTTTTCTTTTCTTTTCTGTGTCATTGCTCTGTCTAAATCCTCTAATACAAGTTAAATAGAAATGGTGAAGTCAGGAAAACTCACTTTGTTTCCATTCCTGGAAAGAAAGCATTTAGTTTTCATCGTTAAATATAACTGTTAGTTGATAATTTTTCATAAATTCCCTGAAGCAGATTGAAAAGATCCTCTTCTATTCCTAGTCTGCAAAAAACTTTTGTCAGGAATACAGTTTGGGTTTGTCAAATGATTTTTTTTTCTACACGCAATTGAAATGTTTATACTACATGACTTTTTTGTTTACTATTAATATGGTGAGTTTCATAGATTGATTTTTTGAATGTTAAACAACCTATAATCCTGAGACAAACTTTACTTGGCTATAGTGTAGTATCCTTTTTATGTCTTACTGGATTCAACTTGGTAGCTTTTTAAAATTTTGCATTGATGTTCATGAAGAATATGGGATTATAGTTTTCTTATAATGGCTATAAATGGTTTTGGTATCAGGATAATGATGGCCTCATAAAATGAATTGAGAAGAGCTCTTCCTTTGTTTTCTGAAAACATTTGTGTAGAAATGATATTTTTTGTCCCTTAAATATTTGGTAGAATTCACCAGTGAAGCTACTTTATTTTAGAATTTTCTTTGCATAATGATTTAAAATTACAAATCCAATTTTAAAAGTAGAGGTACGGCTATTTATTTATTCTTGAGTGAACTTTGATAATTGTATCTTTCAGGGAATTTGTTTCTTCAAAGTAGTCAATTTTATCATAATGAAGTTGTTCATAATATGTCTAGTATACTTTAATATTTGTAAGATAAATAGTTACATCACCTTCATGTCTGATATTGGTAAAATGTGACTTTATTTTTTTTTTTCTTCTCTGTTTTGGATTGGTGTTCATTGATTTTTCTCTTTTGTTTTTTGTTGTTTTTTTTTATAAGTTTAGATTTGTGTTTTTTCTTTCTTTCTTTTTTAGTTTCTAAAAGGGAAGGTGACACTCAGTGATTTCAGACTTTTTAAAAACATACCTGATTAGTGCTATGAACTTCCCTGAAAGCACTCCCTATGCATTCACTATTTGGTGTGCTGTGCTGTCAGTGTGTCAGTTCAAAACACTTTCTGACTTTTCTTTCTTTTAGGGATCATTAATTATTTAGACATACATTATTTAGTTTCTAAACTTTTGGCATTTCTAGAGGCTTTTCTGTTATGGATTTCTGGTTTAATTCCATTGTGAGCAAAGAGTATACTTTATATCATTTGAATCACTTCAAATTCTTTAAAATTATTTTGTAGCTCAAAATATTGTCATTTTAAATAGATGCTTTGTGTGCACTAGAAAAGACTGTCTTCTGCTGATGTTGGATGGAATTTCCTACCAATTAGTTCTTGTTTATAGTTTGTTTACTCAGGCCTTCTATGTTTTTTCTTTTTAGATATAGAGAAAAGGGTATTGAAATACCTTTGTAATTGTGATTTGTTTATTTCTCTTCAGGTGTACTAGTTTCTGTTGCATGGCTATTATGAATTTTTGTTATCAGATGCATAAATGTTTAGGACTATTATTTTTCCTAATAAATTAAAATTATGGAGTATTTCTCTGTATCTTTGGTAATAGTTTTTGTTCTACACCTGCTTCATCTGGTATTAGTCAGAGCAGGCCAGCTTTCTTTCGGTTAGTGTTTGACTGGTACAACTTCTTACTTTTGTCCTATGTATGCTTCTTTAAGACAGCATGTACTCGGATGTTGTACTTTTAAAAAAATTCATTCTGACAAGTTCTTCCTTTTATTGAGATTTTTAGACCATTTTAATTTCTTGTATTTTGTCATATTATTATGATTAAATTAAATTCATTATCTTGCTACATGTTTTTTTCATATTTTATACATGTTACTTGTCCCATTCTCTTTTTGTGTCTTCTTTTGAATTGAGAATTTTATTATTAAATTTTAGTTATTATTTCCTCTTTGTTGTCCAGTTTCTCAACATGGACACTGTGGTCATTAACTTGTGAATTTTCTTCTGCTTGAACACCAATATTTAGTGCTTTAAATTGATTGGTTGACTGACTGACTGACTGAGCTGGAGTTTGAACCTAGGACTTTTGCACATGCTAGGCAAGCACTCTACCACTGAGCTGTGCTGCTAGTACCTAAATTTCCTTT